TGTCTAAATCTAGCTGAAGGAGCTGTAATTCATTTAGCACTGGGATGAAGTCAACAATGACTAGTCTTTGTTTATTCCAAGTTCATCAATTAAATGTTCACTGATTCACATTACAGACCTTGGCATTTAAAAATACAGTGCCCCCAGTGTTGTCACACCTTGCTCAGGCATATGAGGCACAGGCAAAGATGGCATTGAGTTTCACTGTAAGGAACATTGCTCTTTCCAAGAAACTAGAGCGATGTCTTTCCCTCTCATTTTGGCTGGGAGTCATGGACACTGAGGTCTTCCAATGCTGAGCTCTGCTCCACTGAGAGGACTGAGCAAAATTACTACTGTTATTCACAGCATGGACCTGATGGACTGAACGGCCTCTTCTGTGCGGTAATCAACTGATGACTTTCAAATTCTAATTTACTGGTTAATGATCAGGAACATGAAGGTCTTGTGGATCAGTGTAGTGTCCTTGCCTCTAAGCCAGAAATTCCAGGTTTGAGTCTCAGCCCAGGACTTGACAGTCAGGGAAGGTGCATTCACAACACACCACACAGGCTGAGTATCAACCTATAATTTCTTCCAATGCATGCAATGGCAGGCAGTAACAGCAGGAGAGATTCCTGGTCAGCCTTGTGAAGGAAAGAACGTTGAAGCCTCCACCATCACTATTCATAGCTCTGAGTTATGAAGGCATATAAGACACTTGCCTTTATTAGTCAAAGCATTGAATACACAAGCAAGGACTTTCTGATGGAGTTATTTATAATATCAGTTATTCCACAGCTGGAGAATGGGTGCAGTTCTGGTTGCCACACTACAGGAAGAATGTGATTGCACTGGAGCACATGCAGAGGAGATTCACAAGAATGCTGCATGGGTTAGAGCAATTCAGCTATGAACAGAGACTGGGACTGATTTCCTTCGAGCAGCGAAGGCTGAAGAGGGGACAATGATTGATGTTTATGAAGTTGAGGACCATGGACAAGGCACATATAGAGAGAAATATTCCCCTTAATAGAAAAGTTAATAATCAGGGATACAATTTGAAGGTAAGGAGCAAGAGGTTTACAGGGGATTTGATGAAATTTTTTTCAAATAGGAATGGGGACTATCTGAACTCAGTCTATAATGAAGGAACCCTCAAGACATTTAAGAAGTATTTAAATGAGCACTTGAAATGGCATTGCATACAAGGCTATGGGCCAAGTGATGGAAAATGGGATTAAAATAAATAGGTGTTTGATGGCCAGTATGGACACTAAGGGCCAAAACCTCTTTTCCCGTGCTATGAAAGGTCTATGACTAACTTGCATGCAAAACTGAATGTTGCCATAGCATCTCTGATCTCCAACTAAATGATAACGCACCACCACAGCAGATATGGAATATTGAACTACTTAAAACCTAAAACACATCTATTAAATTCTCATTCTTGTGATTATCCCTCATGTCCTTTCTCCTCCCTTTCTCTGCAACCTCCTACAACCCTCCAAGATCTGTATGCTTCTCCAATTCTGGCCTCTTGCAAAACACCAATTTTAATTGCTGCACTACTTATGCCATGTCTTCAACTACCAAGGTCTGGAATTTCCTCTCTATATCAGGCTGTGTGATGGCCTTGTTCTTGTCCACAAGCCCTTGGGGCAATTAGGAATGGGCAATAAATGCTGACCTAGTCAGAGATGCCACATCCTGAGTGAATTTTTTAAAAAACTTCACCGTGTTCAGCATGCTATGTAAATGCACGTTCATGTTGCTGTTGATGAACCTGAAGTAAGGCTTCTCACCCAACCATCAAAAAAAAGGTCTTGAAATTCCTGACAGGAGTGTAGCTGTGGCACAAGACAAACAGAGGTGAGTGCGATTAGTTGATACCTTTGGGATTTGTACCCCAAAGTGCATCAACACACCAGCAGGAGAGGACAGGCAAAGATTGGAGTGCAGGGCGGTGAACAGGATTTAGAGTTAGAGTTAAGTTGATAGACACTAACACTAAAGACGGTCTAAAGCAACCAACAACTTGTTTATCTCTCTCCTGGTTTCTTAAGGCGGAATGGAACATAAAAGAAGCTGGTGATTCCTTGCCCATTTCCATCTTTGCACAAAGTCAAGAACCACACCAGGAGGTTTAGGATAAGCCACAAGGTCAAACACTTGTTAAATCCATTCAGCAGTTTGGACTACCTGGTCATCGCAGGGAGCTAGGCCTAATAAAGGCGAAGTAACAGATGACAACAACTTACATTCATACAATGCCTTTGAAGATATGCATCCCAAGCCTCATCAAAGGAGGGATTTTCACACAAAACATAGCACCAAGCCATATTAGGAGTTAGTAGGACAAATGACCAAAAGCTTTGTCATAAAGGAGTAGACGGAATTCCAAAGCTCAGGGCTACAGTGGCTGAATTCAGTTACTCACCTAGTTACCTGTCTTCACACTTAACCAATATCCACAGGACAAAGCCCAGAGTGTGATAAATACTCCCCACTCATCTGGAAAAGTGCAGCTCCAACAACACAAACTCAAAACCATCCAGGACAAAGCAATCCGCTTGTCTGGTACCATATCCACAAACTCTCTCCGTCCACCCACCGATGCTCCGTAGCAGCAATGTACACCATCTACAAGATGTACTGCTGAAATTCAAAGCTCCTTTGACAGTTCCTTCCAAACCCAGGATTACAACCATTTATAGGACAAAGGCAGCACATATATGCGAACACCACCACCTGCATGTTCCCCTCCAAGACATACACCATCCTGACTAGGAATTATAATCACCCTTCATGACTGCTGGGTCAAAGTCCTAAAATTCCCTTCCTAACAGCACTGTGGGTGTCCTTATACCCCATGAACTACAGCAGTTCAAGACGGCAGCTCATCACCGCCTTCTCCAGCCGAAATATGTTTGGGCAATAAATGCTGGTCCAGACAGTGACACCTTCATCCCTTGAAATATTATATTTTCAAAAACTGCAATTGCAAAGCATACCATTGAGTATGTTTTTACTTATCAGTATTGCTTTTTCCCATTATTCTTAATGGATGTGGGCATTGCTGGCAGGACTGGCATTTAGTACCCTATTTGCCCTTGAATTGAATGGCTGGCTGGTACATTGCTGAGGACAGTCAAGAGTCAACCAATGAGTCACATATAGGTCAGACTAGGTAAGGATAGCTGATTTCCTTTAAAAGTGCATTGATAAAGCAGATGGGTTCTTGTACAATAACCATTACATGGACCATTAGACCAGTTTTTAATTCCAATTCTTGCTGATTCAAATTTCAAGTCCAACCCTGGTGGGATTAAAACCTATGTTCCCAGAACATTCACCTGACTGTGGATTACCAACTCAGATTTTACCGACACACCAGCACTCTCCTTTGATGCAACAGCAACATTTGGGAACCCTTGTTGTCCACTGGTTGGGTCATTCTAGAGGTGGCATGGCAGATCACCAATTATAGCAAGGTTAATCCTTTCATGCTATGGGAGAAGGCTGGCATCATCCAGATTTAAAACCTTGAGGGAGGGCAGAAGCAAGAAATTGGGAACCACCCTTGAGCCAAATGCTTGCCTTCTTAATTAACATCTCAACACAGCATTACCTAAGGCCAAACAACAGCTCAAGTACCAGAGCTGGTCTGAGCCATGTAGTATCCTAGGGAAGTAAAAAGATGAGAACCAGAGGACATAATCTGAGAGTAAGGGGCGGTCCACTTAAAACAAATGAGGAGGAATTTCTTCCCTCAGAGGGTCGTGAATCTGTAGAATTCTTTCTTGTAGAGGGCTGACAAGGCTGGGTCATTAAGTACATTCATTATGGGGAAAAGGCAGGAAAGTGGAATTTAGGATTATCAGATCAGTCATATCATTGAATGGCAAAGCAGACTTAATTGGCTGAATGGTCTACTTCTGCTCCTTTGTATTAAGCTCCCATGATCCTTTATATTATGATTGGCTAAACCTGGCACCAACAAGGGACACCATACAAGTTACCACTCCGACAAAATTGAGGCATGTGTGTGGGGGAGCATGGCTATATTTTCAAATTTGATCCTACAAGGATCATTGTCCTTGTAGATGAAAATCACACACCGATGACAGAAAAAAATTGTCAGATCAATAATCTTCCTGAAAACACCACTTAGACAGGGGCAGAAAATTCCAAGCAGCTCTGTATCATTAGATCATTCCCCATTGTGAGAAAACACGGCAGAAATAGGCCTTACCATCACCGATTTTGAAAAGATCTCACCTCATGGAATTGCACATTAGATTCCTGATGACAGCAAGCCTTTAAAAGGCCAATTCATCCCTTCAGGATAAGACAAGCTCTCCTCACAATCTGCTAGTTGGCTGTGCACAGTACTTGCATCTTAACAATAAATCCCCTGTCAGGACATCAAATGCCACAATCATAATTAGGATTCTCAACTCCTCTTATTGAAATCTAAGGGAGCCATCCACCCATCTCTGGTCTTTTTGTTCCAATTAACATGGAAACAAATTTAATAAATTTTGACTCCAGCCTCTTCTACATCCATCTCTCATTTTGCTCAACAGTGACTCAAATGGAATGAAACTCTGTACTTCTTTCCAAATTCCTCCATCTCCATTCATTTAAGACTTCCATCAGAATCCAAATTTTCAGCCAAGCTTTTGGTTATCGCTAATGATCCTAGTTGTCTTAACGTCCTTTTCAAATGCCCCTTGTACCTCGCTAGAGTTGAGATAGCAAAGCAGAGGAGTATCCAGTTAATTTGCAACTTCTGATTATGAGGTCCTATTATCACAACTTGGTCTGCACTCCGCTCTCCCCTAAAGTGACCAAACGCAAGGAAAAGGGGGTTCAGGGGCAGGTTCTGTGGTTTGCAGGCAGCCAAGCCAGTTATATTGCCAGATGCACCCCTCTCCAGCTTGCAGTTAAGTCAACCAGATAGGAGCTGCACATGGACCCAGAAGACAGAGAGGTTAGAGAGAGAGAGAAAGACATACCTACAACCCACCCCTGCATCCCACCTCCTCCCTGCACCCCCTCCACCAACACCATCTCCTCCAAACATTGAAGAGACAGAAATGGGGGCAGGATGACTGGACATGCTTGTGAAAAACAGTCACTGATGAAAAAGGAATTCCTGAAAATATTCCCATTTGCATTATTTCCTCTCCATCAGCCAGCTACATGAACGGATTAGGTAAGGAGACAAGCAGTCAGTTCTTCAGAAGTTGCTCTGTTTCGAGGTCGCACTTACATTCTTCTACTAGGGTGATGTTTCTGCTCACCACCAGGACCCCTTCACACTCCAGCGAGACCACAATCTTCTTTAGCTGGCTCGGGAAACATCTGGAGCACGACCGGTATAACCTTTGCTCTGCCCCAGGGATGAAGAATGAACTGCAATGGCCAAAGCACAGTTGGTTTTGGATGTTAAAGGTCTTGCAGTTTAGATGTGAAATGCTCTGGAAGAGGTGAAAAGAGATAATTAATCAAGATGAGCTTGATGTTAATACCAGACAGCCCATAGGCTAGGCTGCAGGTTGGAAATCCCGAGTTTGCTGTAAAGGGAAGTTAAAACAGTCTTCAGCTTGGAGTGTGGGAGGCAATCTTCCAAAGTTGACTTGTCAGCTATGGCTCAGTGGGTACCACATTCCAAGTCACAAGGTTGTGGGTTCAAATCCCACTCCACAATTTGAGTTCGGATCTAGACTAATACTCCCAATGTAGTACTACACTGTCAGAGGTGCCCTCTTTCAGCTGAAATATTGAAGTGACATCCCTGTGTAGGATAAGATTTGAACACAGACAGCCCAAAGATCATGAAGCAGGGATTCTTTATTCCATTCACATCAAATCATTACAAACATGAAGGGAAATTAATGTTAAGCAAGGAAGTTTTTATGTAGAATGAAGCATATGGTTCACATTATTGGTTTTCTGCCCCTTCTTCCCATAGGCCTCCTTTCCCCATAGACACCCTATTTTTGTCCCCCCAGAGAGAAGATCCATTCATCTTCTCCAGCTGCTCTCCCTCGCCATCACCACCTGCTGCTCGATTTCCCAGAACAACTGCCCTTGCGCAGAGTCATCTGTCACTGTCACCAACTGCTGCTAGAGGTTTTGTTACACCTGTCTGCCTTCTCAGGTACATGAATAGCTTATTTTGAAGAACTGCAGCAAAGTTCTCTCCAATGTCCTAAGCATCATCTATTCCTCAACCAATATCACTTAAAAAAAAAGCCATCTGGTCATTATCATGTTGATACTTGTGGGAACTCACTGTGCAGAAGCTGGCTACCATGTTTTCTATTACAACAGGAACTACATTTCAAAAGTATTTTGTTGGCTGTGAAGCACTTTGGGGCATCCTTAAGGTAAAAATAGTGCTATATAAATGCAAGTTCTACTTCAGAGATTCTGCCATTAGAATAAAGTTACCAGTTCTAGCAAAATAAACATAGTGCTTCAATTCACCATAATGCAGATTACAAAAGGCGCAATTGCAGAGGACCGTGAAACTGTAAAGCAGAGATTTCATGTTGCCAGCTTTTAGAGGCTGCATTGAACCCTTTACCTCACTTTGGGCTTCCTAGTTCTTTCCGAGAGGGACACGGCTCTCTAAAAGAGCAATCACCGACCTGTTGAAATCAGCTAGGCTTATGTGTCATTCAATGCCTCATGAAGGGTCAAGTCACTTTTCAGCTTGTTGACATAATAAATAAATAGCACATTTCAACTGCCAATCTACTTTCCCTTTCTTAGAATTCATTAGCCATTTTCATCTGCATTTCATTCTCACCTTCTCTCCATCCTCATTAATTACTGCCTCTCTCTTCCGTCAGGTCTTACATTACTATCTGTACTTTTACATCTCTCTCTGATCCTTCTACCCCTCCCATCCCCCCATTAATTCTTTTCCCTCACTCTCTGCTCCTTCCCATCACATTCACTCTTCTTAATTTCTCTGTTATCTCCTTCTATTCTTTCCTCCTCTCTCCCTTCCCTTTCTGCCTCCTCTCTTTTCTTTTCCTCTGTCCTTTCCCTTCCTTTCTGTTTCCTCTCCTCTTCCTTTCTGCTCCTTCCCTCTCTCTTTGTTCCTTCTCTTTCTCTGTTATCTCTCCTTTCTGTTCCTTCTTTTCTTTATGACATCTCTCTTCCACCCCTCTTGAAATTCTACTCCTAACTTCCAATCAGTTTATTTCTCCTCCAGGATTCAAAGCAGTGGACCTCTTTACAAGGATGATGCTGGGATTACAGGGTTTGAGTCATAAAATGACACAGAATAGGCTGGGAGATAGTAGGAACTGCCAATGCTAGAGTCTGAGATAACAAGGTGTAGAGCTGGATGAACACAGCAGGCCAGGCAGCATCAGAGGAGCAGGAAAACTGTTGTTTCGGGTCTGGACCCTTCTTCAGAAATGGGGGAGGGGGAAGGGGACTCTGAAATAAATAGAGAGAAGGGGAGGCGTTGATGGAAGGTGGATAGACGAGCAGATAGGTGGAGAGAAGACGGACAGGTCAAAGAGGCGGGGATGAAGCCAATGCAGGTGAGTGTAGGTAGGGAGTTGGGATGGGGGTTGGTCAGTAGGGAGGGAGGGGCGGGTAGGTCAGAGGGAAGACGGACTGGTCAAGGAGGAGGGGATGAGGTTAATAGGTAGGAAGTGGGGTGGTGTTTGGTCAGTGAGGTGGGAGGAGCGGATAGGTGGGAGAAAAGACCAACAGGTCAAGGAGGCAGGGGCGAGATGGGCTGGTCTTGCGATGAGGTCAGGGGTGGGGAGATTTTGAAGCTTGTGAAGTCCACATTGACACCATTGGGCTGCAGGGTTCCCAAGCGAAATATGAGGTGCTGTTCCTCCAGCCTTCAGGTGGTATCGCGGTGGTACTGGAGGATGCCCAGGATGGACATGTCGTCCGAGGAGCGGGAGGGGGAGCTGAAGTGATTCACTACTGGGAGGTGTAATTGTTTGTCACGAACCGAGCGTAAGTGCTCCACAAAGCGGTCTCCAAGCCTCCGCTTGGTTTCCCCGATGTAGAGGAGGCCACATCGGGAACAGCAGATACAATATACCACATTAGCAGATGTACAGGTGAACATCTGTTTTATGTGGAAGGTTTTCTTGGGGCCTGGGATGGGGGTGAGGGGGGAGGTGTAGGGGCAGGTGTAGCACTTCCTGCGGTTGCAGGGAAAAGTGCCAGGGATGGTGGGGCTAGTGGGGAGTGCTTTTTTCCCTGGAGAATCTGAGGATGAGGGGTGACCTTTGAGGTTTATAAAATCATGATGGGCATGGAGAGGGTGAATAGCCAAGAGTGGAGGAGTCCAACAGTGGAGGGCATAGGTTTAAGGTGAGAGGGGGAAGATTTAGAAAAAGGATCTGAAGGGTAACTTTTTCCACACAGAGGGTGGTGCGTGTATGGAATGAGCTGACAGAGGAAGTGGTGGAGGTAGGTACAATTATTATATTTAAAAGGCATCTGGATAGGTATATGAATAGAAAATGTTGTTAGAGAGATTATGGGCCAAATGCTGGCAAATGGGACTAGGTAGGATTGGGATGTCTGGTTGGCACAGACAAGTTGGACCGAAGGGTCTGTTTCCATGCTATATGACTCTATGACTCTTTGCCTCCCTTAACCTTCTCCTGCTCCCACACAGATCCCACAAGCTTCTGAAGCCCAAAGCTGGGATGGCACCTAGCCATTACAGCTTGATTTATCCCATCTGCTCTGCAGTTTGCACCTTGAGGCTTTATGAATAACTCTCCCGTGCCAAAAGCTCCCTTATCAGAGGCTTACTGGGATCTAATGTGTGTGAAATATGTCCAGTCCATGGTAGTATTGCGATTGCAGTAAACTAGGTTTGCTCTAGACCTTTAAATGGTGTCAACAAGTGCAGCAGGCAATTGATTTCACGCTTCCCCAAATCTTCCAGAAGCTGCAGCCATAAGGATGGCCTGGACAAGGCTTCTGTGCATGACAGCCAAGAGGAAGCACTTAAAGCAGGAAAGCTAAAGCCAGACTTCTCACCCACACACTGCAAATACCATGCCACAGCAGCTCCCTCTGGTGGCCAGGCCAACAGCACACTGAGGTCTGCCTTCAAACACAGTCGACGAAGAGGACCACTCAACCCCAGAACTGTACGGGGTGTAGACACTTGACTACCAGCCTGAATCTTACCAACCTGCCTCCTTCCACTCTTCCACCTGCCAGCCTATCACTTACCAGCCTTGCAAGCAGGCTTCAGCTGAGGCTTGAGAAAGTTTTAAAAATTAATGGGTGACAGAAGGGAATCATCAAGCCTTGAGGTCAAGTTCCTTCTCTCTGAATCTCTTTCTCTTCCTTCCCTGACTTGTCCTTTCTCTGGCTTCCTTACTCCTCTTTGTCTCTCTCTCTATACCTTTCCACACTGTCTTGCTGTATCTTCTCTACTCTTTCTCTTCACCTTCCCCTGCTTTCCATCCATTTCTATCTCAACACAAATACCCCTCTCAATAATTCACAGCAGGCACACAATAAACGTGTTTATTAACCCAATATTTTCCATTGTCAACAGCTGTAATCACTGGAGGAGGGAATGTAGCTAATTCCAAGCCTCTGCTATTTATTTAGGGTTTTAACTGAATTTGGCCACACTAACACTCATGGTATAAATATTTTTACTATTCAGAGATGTCAATAAAACACACCTCTGGAGCGGGGGGGGGGGCTTGAACTGGAATCAGACAACATAGATTTAAAGTGATTTGTAAAAGAAGCAAGGATGATGAGAAAGACATTTTTCACTCAGCAAGTAATCAGAATCTGAAGTCCACTTCCTGGAATTGGTAGAAGATGGTTCAACTGAGGCAATGATGAGGGCACTGGACAATTATTTGGTTAAAAATAACATGCAAGGGATATGGAGAAAAGGTAGGAGATTGGCACTTGGTAATAGAACCAGTGCAGGCACAATGGACTCAGTGGCCTCCTTCTGGCCATAACACTCCTGTAATTTGGAGTAGCAGTATGCAGGAAGGGGGAAGAGGAATGATGGGGTAACAGCACAAAGCAGGAAGAGAAGCCATTGCTTGAGAGACAATGTTCACTCCCATGTTCGCATCACGGAGAATGTACCCACCAAGAACCTAGAATATAGAACAATACAGTACAGAAGTAGGCCCTTTGGCCCACCACATTTGTGCTGACCACAATGCTGTCCTCAATTAATCCCATCTCCTGCACATGGTCCATATCCCTCTATACCCTGCCTGTTCATGTGTCTCTCTAAATGCCTCTTAAACGTTGCTATTATCTCTGCTTCTACCACCTCCCCAGCATGTTCCAGGCACCTATCACCCTCTGTGTAAAGAGGTTCCCTCATACATCTCATTTAATGTATACCCCTACTCCTACACCCATCCTAGCCCAGGCTGCAGTATTTGATGTTTCTACCTGGGGAAAAAGATTCCAACTGTCTACAGTATCCATGCCTCAATTTTATCACCCCTCAACCTCCAATGCGCTAGTGAAAACTATTCAAACTTGTCCAACCTCTCCTTATAGCTGACACACTCCAATCGAAGGGACATTCTGGTAAATCTCTTCTACACCTTCTCCTAAGCCTCCACATCCTTCCAGAACTGCACAAAGTACATCAAATATGCTCTGGCTAGACTTTTATACAGCTCGGCAGATTGGACTGCGTCTAAAGTAGAGCAGTGATTCTGAAACGTCTTTCCCACCGTGACCCTTCTTGAGACTTTGCCAGTTGCAATGGCCCCTCAAGTGAGAACAAACAAGGAGCCATGAGACTCGAGTGGTTCTGAGAGCTCTGGTTGGGGAGTCAAAGTATTTAGGATTTTAAAAACCCTCTCTCTTAGCTGGTTTCATTGGAGAAGGAGTCGGGTCTCATTCTAGGACACACCAATCTTAAGTATGGTGGACTTTCACGTTAAGAATCAGATAACGTCACTGCCCATTTCAAATGAAAAAAAAGTCAGACTGTTTGCCATTCAGAATGCCGAAGACCTCATTGTGACCAAAGCTCCTACTGCTGTTAAAACACTTGCACCTCCTGATCCTTCTTAAAACATAACAGTGCCCACCAAAAAAAAACCATGAGCATTTAAGGGGACCTTCAGTTGGAGATACATGGGAACCATTGAGATCTCAAAAGCATCGCAACCCCAAGATGCCTGCCTCGAGTCCCAAATGGGGATCGGGACACATGGTTTGAGAGGCCCTAGTCTAAATCATTACTCGTCATCCAAATGGTTACCAAAAGCTTATTAGCAGAGGGTTTGAGGGATGGAGAGAAGGGCCTTGTGTTCTCAGTTTAGATTTTAAGATTAGCTGCAAGTGCTGACATGAACTGTGAACAGCCAATGTCAGAGGACAGGAACAATCCCTCTGATAACAAAAATGAAAGTGCATTGAATGAAGAGAGCCAGCATGGACACGATGGGCTAAATGGCCTCCTTCTGGACTCCAACCATTGTTACTACATTGCCCAGTAATTCTCTTTGTTTGGAGTGTGAGAGAGGGTCTGAAAAAGTACCTTGTGTGTTTCTGGCATGATGCATTGGGTGAAATGTACGCATTAGCAACACAACCAAAATGCACTTTTGAGACATTGTTAAGAATTCAGCGCCGATGCTCACTGATTGAGGTCAGGACTAGCGGAAGACATCATAATGAGCGCAACAGACTAATTTGTGTGCAGGGTCACAGCAGAAGGCAAAATCTATTTAGGGCAATTCATTGTTTGTAAAAGTAATTAAAATCTTCTCCACTCGCATTTCCTTGGCTGCTTTATTTCCCCTTCCTGTAGATGAAACCTCCTGCAGCGCAACAATCCTCTGAAATCTCTGCAGTCCTCTGGCCTTTTGCATCTCCCCGGTACTTCTCTCCCTTGTCTCCATGGTAACATAAGAACAGGAGTAGGCCATTCAGCCCCTTGTACCTGCTCCACGATTCTGGATCACAGCTGATCATCTACTTCAATGGCATTTCCCTGTGCCATCCCCATATTCCCTGATGTCATTAATATCTAGAAATCTCTCAATCTCTGTCTTGAATATTTTCAATGACTGATCATCCAAAGAGGTAGAGATATGCAAAGATTCACAACCTTGAGTGAAGAAATTCATCCTTATCTTAGTCTTAAAAGGCCTCCCCCTTATTCTGAGACTATGTCCCATGGTTCTAGACCTTGCAACCAGGAGAACTATTTTCCTTCTCTAGACAAGTCAAGAATTTTCTAAGTTTGTGAGATCACATCTCTTCTGGAGAATACAGGCCCAGTCTCCTCAATGGACAGCCCAGAAATCTATCTGGTGAACCCACTCTGCACTTCCAGTACGGCAAGTCTATAAAGACTGCCCCAAAGGATTATAGATTTTAAAGTGTTTTATCAACGGTTAACATTTAAGTCCGGCTATTAAGCAGTTAATCATGGGGGAGCCTAGAACTAGGGACCACAGTTTCAAGTTAAAGGGTCGCCCATTTAAGGCAGAGATGAAGAAGAATTTCTTCTCCCAGATGATCATTAAACTGTGGAATTCTCTTCACCAGAGTGCGGTCGAGGCTAGGTCAGTGAATGTATTCAATGTTTCACTTCTCTCCACTCTATACATACGCCAACAGGAGCACTAAACTAAAGCAAAGTACTGTGGAGGCTGGAAACCTGAAACAAAAAAAGACAGTGCTGGAGAAACTCAGCAAGGTCCTGTGAAGGAAGAAAACAAAAGGTAATATCCTGGAGTCCAGTAAGTTCTGAAGAAAGGTCAATGGATTCTAAACGTCTCTCTCTCTGCACAAATGCTGCCAGATCTCGCTAAAGTTTTGAGTTCAGTAAGTTCTGAAGAATTGAGACGTTAAATCTGTTTTCTCTGTATCTCCACAGATGCTGCCAGAACTTGCTGAGTTTCTTCAGCATTGTTTTCGGTTCTGTCATATATTACAATTTAAGAGAGAGAGAACACACGAGAGCACAAAGAACAGTACAGCAAAGGAACAGGCCATTCGGCCCACTATGTCTGGGCCGACCATGCTGCCATTCTAAACTAATCCCGTCTGCCTGCACGTCGATTGGGCATTGGGTCCAGTTTCTCGTTCACTCACCTGGGTAAAAGGTACAGCTCTGCAGCTTGATCCGGTGGCTTCTCGCTCGGACAGCGGAAGGACAATCTCCTCAGTGACTCCCCTCCCTTTATCAATCAATCTCCTCCAAGCCTCCTCGGCACTTCTCTGCCTGCTTTCCCCATCATCGTTGTTGTTGTTGTTATTATTGTTCCGAGAGAGCGCAGCTGCTGTTGACGGTTTATCCGTTGGGTTCGAGCTGCCAAGCCAGTCGCGTGCCAGTGCCTCTTCCCGCCTTTTTGAGGCGTCGTCCACACTCGGCCGAAGGCGGGGGGTGTTCTTCTTCGATGGAGGGCGCCGTTTCTGCTGTCCCGCCCGAAAACGGGTATCCGCCGGTACCATGCCCCACACGCCGTAGCCTCTCATCTTGCGGATTTGAAAGCTGCCCGCTCTCTTGCGATCGGACCCCGTCAGAGCCGGTGATGGCACTCGCTCCCCCCACGCCGGCAAAGCCGGAAATGGGACTCGCCACCCCGACCCCTCCTGCGCGGCCTCCAGCCCGCGATTCCTCCAGGAGCCACCGGCCGGGCGCCGCTTTATTGGGAATCCCAGCCTCCGCGAGGGGAGGTGATCGGCACCTGAGCCCGCTCGCTTGCTCTGCAGCCCCACAAATGTCGACCACAGACGCGGGACTGAGAGACGTGGTCTCTGGCTCGAGGAGAATCCCGCACGAAACCGCTTGGGGATTTCCCCAAGCTCCAGCTCGCTGATCCCCAAGAGAGAATCACCTGAAGACATCGCTTCTTCACTATCACCTTGTGCTGGAAGAAACCTGAGGCCTGTAGCTGTGAGGAAGAGACTCAAGATCAGCTCAGTCTGAAAAGTTAACATTTCACAGGACTCCTGCGTTTTTCAATAAATAAAAATTCAGTTCAAGGCCGTAATAACGAGGCCTTGCAGTCAATTTTGGATCATCTTTCCTTCTTACCTGTCTCTTTATAAGTTGATGGTTTTCCCCGCTGGAGAGCTTACAACAGGAAGCTATATTCTCACACCCTTACTTTTATTGAATCAATAAATCACTGAGGGGAAGGGGGAGGAACAATCTTTAAGAATTCGGTGCTAACACCTGTTGTTTGAAGTAGTACTGAAGACACGTATGATAGGCAAAGCAAGCGGATTTGTGTATTAGCAATAGCACAAAGCAAAATCTATTTGCAGATATTACTAACAACTAAATATAAAACTTATCTTTGGCTCATATTCTGGCACAGATTTTTAGCTACAAGCACCCACAAATTGTTGGCAAGCATCAAGATCCTCCTTTCATTTTCCTTTGGATCTCGCACCTTGCACTTTACATACACTTGATATTATCCAAAACTCAGCTGCCCCGCAAGCATGCCAAATCATAGAGCCATACAGCACAGAAACAGAACCTTTGGTCCAACTCGTCAATGCCAACCAAGTTTCCCAAACTAAACTAGTCCCATTTGCTTGCATTTTCATTCATCATTCCTCTGTGTCCTTGATGACTCATTTGGATGGGACTTGGTTCCAAATTCCGCCATGGCCATACTCCACCTTCTCCAGCTCCCACAAACCTCCAATTTAAGCTTTGTAACCATCTTCAATGTTAAACATTCTACTGCAGACAGCCATGCATGGGCCTTCTTCAGCTCTAGAATTTCCTCCCTGAACCTCTCTCTCCTACTTTGAGAGGCTTCTTAAAACCTATCACTTTAACCAGGTTTTCAGTCCCCTTTCCTAATAGCTCCTTCAGTGATTAATTTCCATTGATAATGTCTCAAGGATGTTTTATTACATCAAATGTGTGATAAATATATCTTAAATTTGTGCACAAGATGTGGGCATTGCTGGCCAGGCCAGCATTTATTGCCTATCCATAATTTGCCCAGAGGGCAGTCAAGAGTCAACTGCATTGCTGTGGTCCTGGAGTCATGTAAGGATGGCAGATTTTCTTCCCCAAAGGACATTAGTGAACCAGGTGAGTTTTTACAACACTGGAAAGTGCTTTGATGATTGTCATTATTTACAGATTTCATTTTTAATGTTTGAATTAATATGTTGCAATGATGGGATTCATACTCTGTCCCAGAACAGTAGCCAGTTGCTGAGTTATTATTGCCAACACCTCCTCTGCTCCATGCAAATTGTTATATTTCCAAAGTCTCTTTGGAAGTTATGATATTCTGCCATTTCCTCTTGATGACTGCCATTTGCCCCTGGCCTTCAAAACAAGAGACGAGAAACCACAGAGTTAGGAACTCAGGCAAGGAATCCTTTTGTCAAATGGTGTGTCTGTGCCAGTGGGCATAGAATGTGCCCCTGTCACTGATGGTACAGTTTTCTGCAGCCTCTCCAACACACTCAATGGGGATGGGTGTAATATGGGGAAATTTAAACAAGGGAAAGGATCCATGGAAATGACTATATGCAATCCTGATAGTGATTAGACTTTGTGAGTCTGTCTGTGCAAACTATAAATGGTGTGTGTGAACTAAAGGTGGTATGTGCACTCAAGATGATATGTGTGCACTTGTGGTGGTCTGTGTGCATGAGGCTTGGCATGTCTGTAATAAAAATAAAGTCGCCATAGTTCAGAGGATCATAGGGCTGCTCTCCCATTAGAGAGAGACGACTGCTGGTGTTTTGACCTGAGGGTCACCAAGCCTCAGGCGAGGGGAGAGGTTGAGAAGTTAACCTCACCTGGTGTGGGAATTGAATGCATGCTGTTGGCATCGCTCTGCATCACAAACCAGCTGTGTCTGTGTGCACTAGAGGTGGGGCAGTAGTGTACACTAGAGCACGTGTGACTGCACTAGGGATGGTGTAGGTGAACTAGGTGGTTTTGTTTGTGGGCACTAGTTGGGGCAGTGTGTCTACGTGCACTTGTGAGATGTGTGTAGTAGGGGTGGTGTGTTTGTGCTAGGGGTGATGTTTGTGCATTTGGGGTGGTGTGTCTATGTGCACTAGAAGTAGTGTGTTTATGTGCACTAGAGATTATGTGCGTGCACTATGGACAGCATGTCTGTATGCTGTGAGAATGAAAGCAGATAATGACCCGTTACATTAACTCATACCTTCTATATGTACAGTAATACACACGAGCAATATTGGGAATTCATAGCAATTGGGGGAATACATTGGAAAGGTCAGACTAAATTTCCCAGCAGAAACCAGCTTATCTTGTCAAACTTCGGTAACCTTAAAATATAAACGAAATACTGAGGTTCCGGGGAAAAAAGTGTAGGAGAAACTCAGCAAGTCTGGCAGCATTTGTGGAGAGAGAAACAGCATTTTGAGTCCAATAAGACTGTTCATATTCTGAGTCATATTGGACTCAAAACATTTCCTGTGCTTCCTGTCATCAGAGGGACTCAACATCCATTGAGTTTCTCCAGCAGTTTCTGTTTTTATTCCTGCAACAATAATTTAACCTTATATCTCACATCCTGATTTTATATATTCTAGGATTCTGTGCTTCAATCTAATATTTACTGTGTGGAGTTTGCTTAGCAGGAACCACCAGAATTGAGGATGATATCCTGTTTTCCACCAAGGTGGTCCCACAATGAGGATTCCTGCCAATCTGGAAACACCTTTTTGCTTTCAGATGTTAAATCCCAAGTGAAAAGACAGAAGTTTGAGTTTCTGTGTTAGAGAAAGGGTTGTTGAAACTGAAAGGAGTTCCCACCAAGCAGAAAAAGAGGTTGTCAGATCAATAAGACAACACATTTGAGATGAGATTTAGGGGTGGTTGTCAGATCAATAAGCCAAACCATACAAGATGAGATTTAGGGGTATGCGCTAACTCTGGTAATGAGTTCTCCAGAAAACATCATTTCTTGACAAGTGGTTTATGACTGACCACAATGAAATGTGTGATGTCCTGTAGGGCCCCTTAAAAATTGTTTTATTGTAAAGCTTCCATTTGATGTAAACATTCCTTTATCAATCTTCATGTTGAAAGCAAGGAGATTCTGCATATTAGAGTCTTTGAATTCTGCACCTTAGGAATATCTGATGCAGCACTCTTGCTTCAAAGTCACATTTTAAGACCCCTTCCAGAGATGGGGTCTCTGCACAGTAATGCTGGGGTAGGTGCTGCTTTTCAGATGAGATGTTAACTAGAACTCCTCCCTGGATGAATGTAAAAGATTTACAATGCACCATTCTACAATGCAACAAGGGAGTGTCTTGCCAATATTTTCCCCTCACACAATAGCTAAAATGCAGGGTTAATTGATCCTTTTTGTTTTATCTGGCAGCCTGCTGTGTGCTAACTAGCTGCTGTGTTTCATACAATGACAGCATCTTCAATAATTCAAGGATATGGCAAGCAGTAGATAATATGGACAATGTCTCGCACAATCACAATTTTACCAAATGCAAAAAATGAGTTTGTGAGTTGAAGCCCCACTTCAGAATCTCATGCACAACAATCTAGGATGACAGCCTGAAGCAGTACTGGAGGAAAACTGTTGGTGGTGGTGGTGCTGTGTTTTGGATGTGATGTTAAATCAAAACTTCATTTGCCCTCTCAGGTGGATGTGAAAAATACCACAGCCACCATTTCAAAGAAGAGCAGAGGTGTTAACTCAATGTGGCCTGATGCGTATCAACCAAAATCCCTTGAAAGATGATGATTAGGTCATTATCACATTGCAATTTGTACAATGCAAATTGGCCTCAGTGTTTCCTACCACATGCACTTTGGATGTCCTGAGATTGAAGACAGTGTTTTAAATGCAAGTTCTGAGACCACATTGATAGTAAGAAAACTAGATATCGCTGAAAACACATTTTGATAAAGATAAATCTTGCACTTCGATCTTGCACTCAACAGGACAATTTGCAAGAATAACAATGTGAAGGATTGAGAACAAGAAGGCACAGATTTAAAGTGTTTTGGAAAGCCAGCAAATGCAATGTTAAAAAACTTTTTTCATACAACAAGTGTTTTTTTGCCTAGAATGAACTGCCTGTAGGTGTGGTGAGGCAGAGCAAACTGAAGAATTCAAGAGGGCACTGGATGATTATTTGAATGGAAACGATGCACAAGCACGGGGGAAAAGGCAGGCGAATGGCATTAAGTCATGATACCTATTTGGAGAAACAGTACAGATGCAATGAGCTGAGTAGCGTTCTTCACTGTAACTTTCTGCAATTCTAAAGGGAAAATCACTTTCCCCTTGAATTAGTATTTCTTGCAAATTGTCCTGGTGAGTGCATGGCAAAACATTTTGACAACATATCTCCTACTTTTTGTTGTAATACTCAAGTTCTGTGCAATACCAAATGACCAAAGTTAGATACTTGTATTGCAAAAGGGTTGAGAAGACATGTTCTATTGACACATTCCTTGAAACACAGTTTTTTTTTGTCCTCTCTCTCAGAGTCATAGAGTTTTTACAGCACGGAAGGAGGCCTTTTGGCCTATCATGTCCGTGCTTTTCATCAAACATCTATCTATTCTAATCTAATGTTCCAGAAATTGGCTTGTAACTTTGATGCTATGATATTTCAATGCTCATCTAAACAATTCCTAAATGCCTCGAGGGCTCAGGCCTCCACCATCCTTTCAGGCAGTGAGTTCCAAGGACCCACCAACCTCTGGGTGAAAAAGGTTTTCCTCAAATCCCCTCTAAATCTTCTGCTTCTTACTTTAAGACTGTGCCCCTGGATATTGACTCTTCTACTAAAGGGAAACCATTTCTTCCTATTTACCCTAACTATGTCTGCTACAACTTTGTACACCTCAATCAAGTCCCTTCTCAGGCTTCTTTACTCTAAGGAAAACAACCCCAGCCTGTCTAGAAGGGTCACAAGACTCAAAACATTAACTCTGTTACTCTCACCACAGACCTGCAGAATTTCTCTTATGTTTTCTGTCTTTCTCCCAGTCCATCCAGCTGTCCTTCATAGCTGAATCACTTCAGCCCAAGCAGCATCCTGGTGAATCTTGTTTGCACCCGGCTGCATCTGTGCCTGCAATTATAAATGTGAGTTAGCGAAGTAAGGGAAAGGTTTTTTTTCCCTCTCTTTATAAATGTTACCAGACCTGCTGAGTTACTGCACCACTTTCTATTTTCATTTCAGATTTCCAGCATCTGTAGTTTTTTTTCTTGTTACTCCGTGCCCTCTCTCACGTGGTGACCAGTGCTGCAACACAAACACAAATTTCTCAAGGAACTCAGCAGGTATGGCAGCATCTGTGGTGAGAAAGTAGAGTTAACATTTTGAATTCAATGACTCTCCTTCAGAACTGATTGTAGCAAGGAAAAGGTGGCATATATACTCTGAAGATGGGGTGGGGGTGAGAAGGGTGAGCAGTTGGATGGAGTTGGAGCTCAAAGAGTGAGAACAACAGTTAGCCAGACAAATGGATGGATGATAGAGGAGAGAAAGAAAGGCTGATAATGAAATTTGGTTGGTGTGCTGAATGCAGCCTATGTCAATGACAGAGCTTGCGGTGTGGGGTTGGGTCAACGACTTTGAACGAATTCTTCAGACCCTTAAATTTTTGAACTAAATATTGAGTGCTGAAGGCTGCAGGGTTCCCGCGCAGAAAATAAGATAATATTCTTCCAGCTTAAGCACTGCAACAGGGCCCAGGACACAAATTTTGGCCATGAAACACGGTGGAGCGATGAAGGGACAGACTACTGGAAGTTCATAGGTGTTCTGCAAAGTAATTATCCAGTCTCCAATATAGAGAAGACGAAAATGTGTGCAGCGAATACACTGAATTTCAACACAGTTGAATATGGCCTTGTGGGACAGCAAGAAGAATGTGCTTGAAAACTTTTTTGAATTAAGTTCTTTTAAAAAAATTTTCAACAGGCATTTGGGTAGGCGCCTGCTACGGGCAAAGAGCAAGGCCCAAGATGGCGGCGCCCATCCTGCGCGGCCTCTCGCTTCGTGCGGCTATGGCCGGCCTGCGGCCTCCGGAACCTCTCCTCACTGTCCGGGCATCTTACAACGCTCGACGCTTGGGTCTGGACCTCAGTGGCTTCTACTTGCCGCATGCCGGGAGCCCCGAGTGGCAGCGGGGGGTGCGGGCCCAGCGGAAACGTTACGGCCGCTGGGGCAGCGTGTCCGGCGTGTCGGCCGCCTCCCTGTGGCCTGAGGCCGCGCTGCTGGCCCAGCACCAGGCCGAGTGGGAGCCCAGCCTGCAGCAGATGTTGAGCAACCTCCGCGCCAAGGAACTGGAGCGGGAGAAGAAGGAGCGGGAGAGGTGAGAGTCGGGGAGTGGGAGGACGCAGTTACATTTCTGTGGCGCCTGGCGCGTCGTCGACTGGCTTCTGTTCGGTACTTTGGAAGTGTCCTTTCTGCCCTTTAAACAGAATGCCACTCCTCATTTTTCCCCACCAGAGTTTACATTTTCTCTTTCTTGACATAGGATCAATGTGATTGCACTAGAGAGGGTGCAGAGGAAATTTACCAGGATGTTGCCTGGGCTGGAGAGTCTCAGTGATGAAGAGAGATTGGACGGACTGGGGTTGTTTTCCTGAGAACAGAGGAGATTGAAAGGGCACATAGAGTCATATGCGCAGAAACATTCGGTCCAACTTGTCTATGCCAACCAGATATCCTAAATTAATCTAGCCCCATTTACCAATATTTGGCCCATGTCGCTGTAAACCTTTCCTATCCATGTACCCATCCACATGCATTGTAAATGTAATTGCACAAGCCTCTACCACTTCTTCCACCAGCTCATTCCATATATGCACCACCCTCTGTGTGGAAAAAATTGTCCCTTTTATATCTTTCCCCTCTTGCCTTAAACCTTTGCCCTTTGGTTTTTGGACTGCACTACCCTGGGGAAAAGGCCGTGGCTATTCACCTTATCCATGCCCCTCATGATTTTATAAACCTCTGTAAGATCACCCTTCAGCCTCTGACACTCCAGGGAAAATGGCCCCAGCCTATTCAGCCTCTCCCTACAGCTCAAACCCTCCAACGCTGGCAACATCCTTGTAAATCTTTTCTGAACCCTTTCAAGTTTAACATGTTTGAGATGTATAAAGTTATGAGGGCCATAGGATAGACAGAAAGTAATGTTACCCCTTGGCGAAGGGATCAATGACAAGGAGCATAGATTTAAGGTAAGGCATGGCACAGGTGTTTTAAAGGCAAAATATTCACTGACGGTGGTGGGAATCTGGAACTCACTGCCTATAAGGTTCGATGAGGTCAGTTCTCATTCTTTGAAATTCTAGAGATTACAGACCCTCTTTCCTCATAAAACAATCCTACCATCCCAGAGATTAATCTGGTGAAGCCCCATTGAAATCCATTTATGGCAAGTACTGTATATCCCTCCTTGGATAAGGAGACCAAAACTGTACATAATGCTCCAGGTGTTGGCTCCTCTCAGCGGATCTTTTGATTCCCCTGAGTATTGGTTTAGCTTCTCTTCCGAAGAAGGAACCATTTGACAGCGTGGCATTCCTTCAGTACTGCAGTGTGTCAGGTCAGGCCTCTTGAATGGGATTTGTGTTTTGGGCAACAATGCTGCCCTCTGAGCCATGACTGGCAATGGAATGGGATTGAGGGGGATTTGATGGAACAGATCATGGGAGATAGTCAGAGGTGTTCTCTGGAAATGAGGGAATCTAAAGAGGAAGAGAGCAAGAGTGACGGAAGAGCTAGACAAAGGATATAGAAATTCCTCATCTCGATCTTAAATGGCCTGCCCGTCATTCTGAAATTACATCCATGGTTTTAAACTTGCCAACCAGAGGAAACATCTACATCCACCCTTTCATGTCCTTTAGGAATGCAAGTGGGGCGGGCAGAAATCTTGCAGAAACATATGTGATTTTTGAGAGGGTTTGACAAAGTCAATGCTAACAGGTTGTTTCCACTCGTGGTGTAATCTAGAAATAGGAACCATGGCTTGGAAATAATGCCTACCTCATTTTTAGGCAGAGCTGAGAAGGAATTTCTCCTGCCGGCCGATCGCTCGTGTGAAATTCTCCTCCTCAGTGAGCTGTGAAGGCTGGGTCATAGTCATACAGACCCTTTGGTCCAACCAGTCCATGCTGACCTTAATCCCAAACTAAACTAGTCCCATCTGCCTGCACTTGCCCCATATCCCTCCATTTCCTTTTTGTGTGCTTATCTATATGTCTTCTAAACGTTGTAACTGTACCCGCATCCGCCATTTCCTCTGGAAGTTCATTTCACACATGAACCACTCTGTGTTAAAACAAAAATGGCCTCTCATGTCTTTTTTAAATCTTTCTCCTGTCACCTTAAAAATATGCCCCCTAGTCTTGAAATCCCTCACCCTTGGCATTCACCTTATCTCTATTCCTCATGATTATATAAACTTCTATAAGGTTACCCCTCAAACTCCTACGCTCCAGTGAAAGAAGTCCCAGCCTATCCAGCCTCTCTTTATAACTCAAACCCCAACATTCCCAGCAATGTACTGGTAAATCTTTTCTGAACCCTCTCCAGCTTTGACCAGAATTGGACACAGTACTCCAGAATATGTAGGGTTGTATGTTAAGGCTGAGTTGGACAAATTTCTGATCGACAAGGGAGGCAAGGATTATAGAGTCATACAGGACATTCAGGCCCATCAAGTCTGTGCCAACATGGTTATGGGGTGGGACAAGCAGGAAAGTGGAGCTGAGGCCACAACCAGGTCTACTGTTATCGAATAGTAGAGCCGACTTGAAGGGTTGAGGAGGCTCTCTTATGATCAGAGCGAGAAACCTGGGATTGGGGTTGTATGAGAAAGAGATGAAAGGGAAAGGTGGAAGGAGGATCCTTGAGTTGAAGGTGTGAAGGCCTTTTGGGTCATTTCTGGGTTGGTGTCTGTGGTATAATCCAGTAGACACAATGAAACAGGAGGAGGGGGAGGAGAGACAGCAATATCTGAGCATTATTTGGGGTCGGATATACAGGAGAGCCGATCTGGTGTTGCTATGCCAGTCAATTCTTGATTTGCATTCCACAGAGGCAGAAGATCAACTGTCTTCTGTTTAAGCAGAAAACCAGCAGGAGGTCACTCAATTTTAAGATACAGTCCTGCAGGTTGCTGTGTTGTACACTGGAAAAGCACTGAAACTGATGCATGTAGCGTTTGGATTCTGAGGCAGCAGCGTTTGTGTGCACCAGTTTCCTTCGTTTCGCACTAAGTGGGAGTTACAAAAAAACAGGAAGAGGATTATATAAATAATTAAATGATTTGGGCTTAATAGAGACAAAAACAGATGGGCTTATGCATGGAGGCAGGAGACAGAGCTGAGGTATGAAATGAATACTTGTATATCAAGGAAGATGATGTTATGAGGGTCATTGTCAGAGAGGGAGGTAGTAAAGAGACACTCGAGTGGAACGGTCGTTCACTGCTGCCACACAGCGCCAGGGATCCAACTTCGATTCCAGTCTCATGACTGTGTGGCGTTTGTACGTTCTGAATAGGGTTTCCTCCAGGTGCTGCAGTTTCTTCCTACAGGTTAGGTGGACTAGCCATGCTAAATGCAGGATTAAAGGGATGGGGTGGTGGGGGGGCACTGGGAGGGATGCTCTTAGGAGCATCAGTGCAGCCTGAATGGGCTGAATGGCTTCTATGTCCACTGTAGGATTTCTGTGATTCACTCATACACCATAAGCCCAGTGTTGCCCCAACCAGCTAGAAGGGAGTAACGCACTGAGGCTGTGCAACCAAGCTCGCACAGGAATGTGGCCTTTTGTGTACTCAATTGTGGGAAGTGCTAAGTGCAGGATGTAAATTGCAATAATGACCTCATTCCTTGACAACTGCTTGAATGAGGTGCTAATACAGGTTGTAACAGCAGGTGTGAAAATGCAGATCATGGTAATTAATAAAATCAAAGGCGAGAAACTGCTGTGTGGTTTATGGCTACCTCAGTGATTCAGATCTTCCCCTTACTGACCTCTGTTCAAAGGTTTGCAGCTTTGGGGTATGTATTAACCACACTAATGTGCTGGTTTTAAGTTATTTTTAGAATCAAAGCTACAAAGACTTCCACCTCTTTAACTTTTCAAACACTGTTGTCACAAATTTGAGATAACTAGGAAAAGAATCTGAGAGAAGGCAAAACAGTTAGTTTTTAATTTCTTTTTTGCGCAGTTTAGGTTGCTGCAATCTGGAATCTTAAGTGTTGGAACTGGCCTTGGAACTTAGAAGATGGGATAGATAATTGGGAGATCTTGCCAAAACCAAATAAGGCACTAGCTAGAATATTGTGAACAGAAAATATCAAAGGGAAAACATTTCAGCATTTGAGGTCATCCAGAGAAAATTGACAAGACAAATCCTGGATATGGAAGGATTTTCTTATGAGGTGAGGTTAAGTAGATTGGTAGTTCTGAGGAAGGCTCACTCAACCCTAAATGTTAATCCTCATTTCTCTCCACAGATGCTGCTAGACCTGCTGAGCTTTTCCAGCAATTTCTATTTTTGTCTTTGAGTAAATTGGGTCTGTACTTGTTGGAGTTTAGGAGAACAAAAGGAGACCTTATTTCAATACACAAGATTCTTGGGGGTGTGACAGGGTGGATGTGGAGAGGTTTCCCCTTGTGGGAGAATCTCAGACCAGAGGGCATCAGCTCAGTGTATGGGGTTACCCATTTAAGACAGAAATGTGGATTTTTTTTTCTGAGAGTTGTGAATCTGTGGAATTCTTTATCACAGAAGACTGTTGAGGCTGGGTCTTTAAGCATTTTCAAAGCTGGGATCGGCAGACGTTTAATCAGCGAGGGAATCGAGGGTCTTGGGGAAAAGGCAAGAAAGTGGAGTTAAGGGTTATCAGATCAGCCATGATCTCAAAGAGGGAAAAAAATGACAGCAGACTTGATGGGCTAAATGGCCTATTTCTGCTCTTGCATCTTATGACTTATAAGTATTTGTAAAGGAAAAACGTGTGCATGGGTATGGAGAAAAAGCAGAGAAGTGGGTTTAAATGCACACTTCTTTCAAAGAACCAGTAGGCAGTACAATGAGCTGAAAAGCCTTCTCCTGCATTGCTGGATTCTGCTGGACTCTCCTCTAGCAAGTGTTTTTCACTATTGTGCCTTGTTTTGGTTGGAATCTGAGAGTTCCTGTGCATTGGGTTTGCAGAATGCTTACATTAAATTTGTGACTGTCTGCACAAAAGCTCCGGCAAGGTCATCATGAACGCTGCACAGGCAATGAGCTGCTGCTTCTATCCCAAGAGTTAGATGTATGAAAACTACAGGAAGAAAAGTTACATTTGCATAGCTGCTTTAATATAGCGAAAAATTCCATAGGTGCTTCATGGGAACACTTAGCAAACAATAGTTGACACCAAAATCAAACAAAGGCCTGCAGATGCTGGAAATTGAAACAAAAATGGAAATGCTGGAGAAACTCAACAGAAGCTCAATTCTGCTGAACAGTCACTAGCCTCGAAATGTTAACTGTTTTTCTGTTCACAAATGCCGCCTGACTAACTGAGTTTCTCCAACAATTTCTGTTTTTGTTTCAGAATACTTGACACTGCGTCACTTCAGGGGAATAACTGCAAGTTATAAGTACTATAGCATCTGAAAGGAAAAGAGAGAGAGAGAGAGAAAGTAAATTGAAGCGGTTCAGGGGAGAAATTCCAGGTAAACATAACTGATTTCAACAGTGGAGAGAAAGAGAAGAGGCTGCACAGAGATATTAGAGCAGGTTAGTGAGATTGAGTTGGGTTGAGACCATAGAGACAGTCAAGAATAAAGATTTAAAAATTTAAGCATTTCACAGGGAGTAAGCAGAAAAAGTTTGACATCAAACAAGGAGATTTTTGGACAGCAGCAAGTTGTGTATCAATTTGATTTGTCAGGGAGGTGAGCAGACATAGAGATCTTTGGAAAAGTAACCACATTGACATGTCTTCTCTTCCTCTCTGCTATTTCCAGGCAGAAGCTGATTGCGGCCAACATGGCCAAGATGCCCAAGATGGTTGAAGACTGGCGGAGAGAGAAACGCGAGCTGAAGATCCAGCAGAGGGAGGAGAAGGCCAGGCGGGAGCGTCTGCTTTCAGAGGCTAGGGAACGCTTTGGCTACAGCATCGACCCACGGAGCTCCAAGTTTCAGGAGATGGTGAAGGAGTTGGAGAAGGAGGAGAAGAAGAAGCGTAAATTGATGAAAAGACGAAAGAAAGAAGAGACTTCTGGGAGCGAGGTAGCAGCAGGCACCTCTTAAACTGCTCATTTACATTGCTAGGACTTGACAGACTGCTAAAATTCATTAAACTGATTGAACAGACTTAATGAAACGTGGCGACTTTAATGTGTTTAAAATATTCCATTCTGACTGACCCCAAGTCATCTATAAAATTTTTATTTGCCCTCTGTCATTAACAAGGTCACATTTATTGCCGGTATTCTGTGACATTTGGAGGCTGCTGTCTTTACATCTTCATTTTATTTTTAGGAGTGACTGTCGAGTGATCTTAAACTATTAAAGAATTAACTGTCTAACATTGGAGTCATGCGAGCTTGAACCCCATGAAGACAGCAGGCTCCATTCCCTTGTGGAGCTGGTTGGTCTTTTATTGGCAATCTATGATCGTCTTGGTCACTGTGTAGTACTGGCCCTTAATTTTCTAAACTATTTGTGGAATTTTTGATCTGATTTATTATTGTCACATGTACTTGGGTACAATGAAAAGTTTTGTTTTGTGTGCAGGACAGGAAGATCATACCATGCAAAGACCATTGGGGTAGTAGAACAAAGTGAGGAATACAATGTTACAACTGCAGCGAAAGTGCGCAAAGAGCAAGATCGACATTAGATTTGAAATTAGAGAGGTCCATTCAGCAGTCTAATAACAGCAGGGAAGAAGCTGTTCTTGAACTTGTTGATGCGCGTGCTTAAGCTTTTTGTACCTTTTGCCCGATGGAAGAGGTTATAACTGGGCTGCATGCCTTGCTACGGTGGGATTGCAACCTGTAGTCTGCTGCTAAACCACCACAGATGTATATGGTAAAACAGTCTTCAAAGACAGAATACAACAAGAGCTTTAACTAAATTTCCATTTTATTCTGATAGTTAATTGACATAAATTAAAATGATTTTAATTTTTTTGAAATAATTCTGCATAACGTCCTTGTACTTAGTACACATAGCATTTAAGTAAATCACTTGTGAATTTGCACTCATACTACTTGTCACATTAAATAAAATGAAATCATTTTGTTTAAAGTGTTTTGTGCAGGCTCCTAAAGACTGGACAAACCAGAGTCAACGATGGCCTCAGGCTGACAGCCCACTGGAGTACAGCTGTGTTTGTGCTTAAGATCCTGCAAGCTGCTTAGGGTGCAGTTGTGTCAGATGATTACTGCACCCCACATTGTTGCTGCAAAATTACTTCTCTTGGTTTAAGCAAAAGCCCTGCATGAACACAACAATACCTGTGCCATATGACATCAGAATCTTTGGATCACTACTAAAAGGGAAGTGTGCCTAAATTGACACTTTTTAACCAGGCTTGGTAGAGATTCAGAATCGTGCATTAAATCACATGGAAAGCGACGTAATCCCAACAACTTGCATCCCCAATGAGAAGTGGAAAAAATTACTTCTAAAATAAATAATACTTTTTGTGGTTACAATTTGGGAATAACTAAGATATTCAGGGCAAAACTGTCTGAAAGTGAATTTCAAGGACTAGTAGAGAGCATGACTCTAGTCTGAGGAGTTGCAGGGAATTTATATGAAAATACCTGGCCGCTCCATTTAATTTGGGAATGGCCGATTGATGCACTATTGCAAATATCCACACTCTGTTGAGTGGTGCTGGTGGGTTACAATGCATTTGGGATGTCCCAGTTGCTGTAGTAACATACATATTTACTGGCATGATGTAGTATGGAATTATGCATTGTGATGGAGGCTGTAATTTCATACCATTGCATTCTTGACCAGGAATCTCTCCTGCTTTCACTGCCTGGGCATGTTGGAAAGTGTTAGAGAAACGTACCCTTCTTGGACATCCTGGTAGCGGGATGTGAAGCCAGAAGCCACAGATCAGAGGCAGGTACACTACTAACTGCAACATAGGTGCCCTTATAAGGTGTCAGATGCCTGGCTGTAAATAGAGTCCTGGAGCACTTGGCCCTTGGATGGTTCAGGTTGTGATAGCTACATGCAATGTCAAGCTGAGGGAGGTGGAACAGGAGCAAGGCCAAGTGATGGCAGTGCCATTAGCCATTCCTGCAACCAAAATACTCACAGCCTTTACCTATTGTAATTCATGCCCATAGGTTGGTGCAATGTTATACTAGTTCCTGCCTTTGCACCATCACAGCAACTCAGAACTTTATAACAGTAAGATATCCTGAACCTGTAGCCAGGGCTATGGAGTCTCCTGTGGATACAGAGCACAGGAACAGCAACACGCACAGTCTGCATCCATAAGGAATAGTCACCAATCCATTCAAAGAGAAACCAGGGCTGGTTTTTTTTCTGGGAAACTTGACAGGAATATCTGCTCCACGTCGGGATCAAATTTCAGTTGACTCCAATGTGAAATTCCTTTCTAAAAGCTTAATTTCAATGGTTTTAAAATTTCATGTTGCGAGAAGGTGAGGTAGGGTTTGGATGAGTTAGAACACAACTGAGTCATGAGGGAGACTTGCAGCGTGTAATAACCAGTGATTATCGCTGGCAGTGCAGAATGGGTCACTCCGTGATGTTAAAACTGAAGGTTAAGTTGGCAGGAAAACAAAGGGGTGATATGGGTTAAACTTAAAAAGTGGAGGCTATTCAGCCCCTCAAGCCTATGCTACCATTCAGTGAGACTGTTGCGTGTTCTGCATCTTAACACTATGAATCCACCTTACTTCCAGATTTCCACTCACCTTTGTGCAAAGACATGCTTTCTGATTTCTGGATCCTCCACACCAGAGGACTAGCTATTTTCTATCTACCTTATCACAGAAGTGTTTCAGCAATGAAGGCGGCTATTTGGCTCATGGTGCTATTCAAACGAGCACCATTACCCATACCCTTGCACGTTATTTCTGTCCAAATAATCTACCACTATGCTCTTGAATGCCTCAATTGCACCTTATACTTCCAGGTAGTACACCTATACCCCGATCAATCCGTATACCAAATAACATTAAAATCCTTAATCATATCACACTTTAATTTTCTAAAGTTCAGCGTATGCTTAGCTGTGTTCAAGCTTACTCTCTACCCTTGGTACCATTTGTGTACTTCATCCATTCCCCAGACCAACACACCCATTCTGTGTTAGTTCTGGGCAGTACACCAACGTGCTCCAGTAGCCTTATACAATTGTCAAGTAGCTTCTACTCCACTTTAGTCTAAGGACACGTTATTGGGAACAAGGAGTCAGCCTGTGGTATGGACTCGTGAATAAGATGGAGATAGAAACCATTGAAGAGATATTTTGGCCGAATGGGAGAGTGGGGAGAGGAACAGAGAATCCTCTGGATGGATGAACGACAATGGGTCAAACGGCCTCAGCTATCTTGTAAGTAATTTGGTTGTCATGTTACCAGTGGTTCGACCTTCCCAAAGTTGCTCATTAATGACAGACAACTGAGCCATTGGCTGACGATATCTTTTTGGGTCAGACTTCAAATTGGCTGCCAAGATACAAGAGGTATACAAGGGCAAATTGATTTGCTATCATAGTCCTTGAGTAGATTTGTAGCTCGGGTTGTGGTTGGTTTGCTCGCTGAGCTGTTTCATTAGTTCGCAGACGTTTCATTACCCTGCGGGGTAACATCAGTGCGGCCTCCAATGAAGTGCTGTTGCGTTTTCCTGCCTGCTATTTAAACTCTGTGGTCCGTTGGATTTGATTACCTCATTTCCGGTTTTCCTTCGCAGTGGTGTATATGTAGGGTCTAGTTCTATGTGTTTGTTGATGACCTTCTTGGTGAAGAATCAGGCCTCTAGGAATTCCCGTGCTTCTCTCTGTTTGGCCTGACCTAGGATCCTGGTGTTGTCCCAATTGAACTGGTGGTTCTCCTTATCTGTGTGAATAGAGATGAGTGAGTATTGGTCATGTCTTTTTGTTGCTAGTTGGTGTTCATGTACTCTTGTAGCCAATTTTCTTCCTGTCTGTCCAACGTGCATCATGGTAGATGCAGGGCCAACGGGGAATTCCTGACGAAGGTACACAGAAAGGCCACACGCACTGACCAAGTACTGAATTTCAACAGTAACCACCCTAACACCCACAGACGAAGTTGCGTGAAAACACTATTTAAATGAGCAACAACACACTGTAGCAAACCCGGAACTACGCCAAAAACAGGAAGAGTACCTCCACCAAGTATTTAAGGACAACGGAGACCCGACCAACTGGATCCAATGATGCCTATTATATGAACAACAACAGGAACATACTGCACGACCTACCATCACGCTACATAACTCATAACATAAGTTAACATAACTCATTACGCAACCATACATCAAGAACATATCTGAACTGACCACAAGACTCCTACGACCATTGGGCATCAGAGTAGCACACAAACCCACCTCAACGCTATGCCAACTGCTAATTCAAACCAAAGACCCCTTACCCAATCTGCACAGAACCAACATAATATGCAAAAAATTCCATGCAAGGACTGTGACAAACATTACATTGGACAGACAGGAAGAAAATTAGCCACAAGAGTACATGAACACCAACTAGCAACAAAAAGACACCACCAATACTCACTCATCTCCATCCACATGGATAAGGAGAACCACCAGTTCGATTGGGACAACACCAGGATCCTACGACAGGCCAAACAGAGAGAAGTACAGGAATTCCTAGAGGCCTGATTCTGCACCAAGAAAGCCATCAAAAAACACAGAACTAGACCCTATACATACACCACTGCGAAGGAAAACCAGAAATGAGGTAATTAAATCCAACGGACCCCAGGGTTTAAATAGCAGGTGGGAAAACACAACAGCACTTCAGCGGAGGCTGCATCGATGATGTTACCCAGCAGGGTAATGAAATGTCTTCGAACTAAAGGATCAGCTCAGCGAGCGAGCCAACCATTGCTATCGTAGTGCCAGGGATCAGTCAGTGGGACTGACACTTCTCAATTGGGCACCGCAACCACCTACTGGAGTCTTGCAGAGCAGGCAGAGCCGCATTGGTTAGGCTCAGGCATGACAACTGGCCTTGACATCACCGCATGAGAGGGAAGATCAGCACAGGTTTCCACCCATGACCATCTTCCTCTGTACCCTGTGTTGATATCAGATGAGAACAGGATTAAGGTTCCCTGTGATTCTCTCCACAATCAACCAGCCCACCTATGCTCTCAAATGAAGAATGACCTTGTCCCAGATGATGGAACAATACCAATGTTGGTGATGCCGCTGAATAGAGACATATTTTCCAATGAGTTTAATCTTGCACCCACCAAGACAAATGCAAACTATGCCAAATTTCCAACAATTAAAATGATTTGTATTACAAGAGAAATGATTGGTTGGCAAATATACTCATGATTAGCCAAGGTGTTGTCTTGGAGAAGCAATGGAGAACTATCAACAAAAATTGTCCTGAATGAATTATTATGCTGTGTTAATCAGCAAGTCTTGTATCCAAAGTATTCATGCCTGATCCTATTCACCAGGTAGAACTAAATCATTGAGTCCTGTTGCTAAAGCTGAAGGCGAGTTGATCATTCTGCAATTTGAAAATAGAATGAAGCCACAGCAACACATTTAAACTATAGGTAATTCAACAAAGGCCCAAGGCTTGAACATGTTTACAGAGAGTGGGTCCCTGTGTCTGAATGTACGTCACACCTCGCAAACATGAATGAGCCACATTACAAGCTTAGTGATTATCCTTTTTTAAAATTCATTCATGGAGTGGGGATATCACTGGCTAGGTCAGCATTTACTGCCCATCCTTAATTGCCCAGAAGTCTACTGTAGGTCTAAAGTCACATGCAGGCCAGACTGGTAAGGATGGCAATTTCCTTCCCTAAAGGACATCAGTGAACCAGATAGGTTTTTCCTACAATAATTGGTACTGGTTTTATGGTTATCATTAGGCTCTTAATTCCATATTTATATTGAATTTGAATTCCATCTGCCATGGCAGGATTCAAACCTGGGTTCCCCAGAACATTACCTGAATCTCTGGATTAACAGTCCAGCGATAACACCAGTAGGCCATCACCTCCCCATTGGTTCTGAGGTTGGTTCTGAGTGAAATTAACAGCACACCTGGGATTAATCAGCATGCACTGTCCAACCATGGAATCACATTTAATGGTTGACAATTTCTCTGGGCTTGGCAAACACAGTCCTGTCAGGTACAATCTGCACTTGGCTATTTTGAACAACCGAAAGAACGTGTTGTTTGATCTAATAAGCCACTCACTAGGATGTACAGCCTATGTACTTGGCTCAGTGTGAAAATGTGGCATTCTTGAGTTTGTCATGATGAGTGCGAGATAAGAAGTTTTGGAAACACATCTCTCTTTTCAACAAGACAAGTTCCACATGACCATGCTCCAGATGGTAACACTGCATGCTGGCAATGAGAGCAACAGATCTGGAAGAGGCAGGGGCAGTAAAATAATTATTTGTGGGAATAGTTAGCTCATCCTCCAAGTCTCCCACCACTCCTACAGAATCTACGTTCTTAATTACACAACCCAAAGACAAGACATTAAACCAAGCAGTTGAGCTGTCAAGCAGTAGCCACTAGGTAACTCAACTTCATCTAAACACAGGATATCAGAACATTCCTGAAAATTGTTTCATGTTCCAGATTAAAACAGCAAGTCTCCTGTCCAAAGTATTCATGTCTGATCCCATTCGCCAACCGGAACCGAATCATTTAATCTTGTTTATAAAACTGAAGGGAAGTTGATCATTCCACAAATTTTTTAAAAAAAGAGTGAAGCCATATCAATGCATTTCAACGCTTGCCCTTATTTCAATTCAAAGTGTAAACTCGGTAAAATGTTAAATGCATATTCGTTTTTTGTGAGGGAAAGTTTTCTTATTGTCTCTATCTCCGAATACTTTGAGGAAGAACCTAGCTCAGGAAGCTACATTTTTGTTTTACAAAACACACTCTCAATTAAATGAATGTAGTCATGCTAACAAGGTGACCTCTAAACTCTGGGACTTCCAAAAATAACACCTGGTTTAATCATGGCAAAGTAAGGAGCAGTAAGAAAAATCGAAAAGTACGCAGTTCTTCCTGTAATGTCTTCCAAGACTCCTTTTCTCATCTTGATACCTCAACGTTAATAAAAGGCATTTCTCATTCCATGTGTGAGATGCTCTCTAGTTGATACGAGCAACCTGTGAAGTATTTTTAAGATCCTAAGCCCCAAGAAAAGTCAGAAGGACTATGGGCTCTGCATCGCTATTGAAATACGGCATTGTGACTTGTCACATGGGAACGCTCTCCACCTCCTCCCCTCAAATCAAAATGACGCAGGACAATACTTATGAGCCATGAGTGTGAGATTCAGTATGGGCAGACCAGCTCCCCGAAGCTCACAAATGTCCCACAGCATAAAAATTCAACCCCCAGGTATTTCCTGGCCTTTTTCTGTTTTAATTTTACCCACTTCCTATATTAAGCCACTTTTAATGTTTATTAAGTCCTCCATTTTGCATTGGGTTGGGTTCACCTCTAGAGGGCAGTCACTTCAAACCCATTCTCATCTTTCTCTGCCTTCAGTTTGGAAAGAGCAGCATGTATTCGGAAGAGCGTCCGAGATTCCATGGAATAGTCCTTGTAGTTTTGCCTAAGAGAAATTGCAGCATAGTTAGGGGAGAAGAGTGAGCCATCTAGCCAATCAAACCCAGAGAAAACCAACAAAACCCATCCAAACTTATACCTGTCAGCCTTGGGCTGTTGTGGCACAGTGGTAGCTTTCCAACCTCTGAACTAGGAGGCCCAAATGCAAGTCCCACCTACTCGTGGGGTGTCTCATAAAATCTCTGAACATGTTCATTAGAAAATATCTATACCGGTCAGCCCTGCTCAGGTGTGAAGGAAGAAAGAGGCAAGTAATGTCAAGTTGAACAGCAAGAGCTTCTTTAAATATATAAACAGGAAAAAGAGAAGCCAAAGTGAATGTAGGCTCCTTAAAGAATGAAACTGGGGATACAATCATGGAGAACCAGGAAATGGCAAAGGAGTTAAAGACACACTTTTCATCAGTCTTCACAACAGCATTTCAAAAATACCAAATGAAAAAGGGGGGAGAGGAGATATATTCAATAACTACTACAGTACTACTAAGTACTAGAAAAATTAATCAGGTAAAAGACTGCTAAATCCCCTGGACCTGTTGGATGTATCCTAAATTATTAAAAGTGGTAGCTACAGATAATGGATGCACCAGTAGTAATCTTAAAGAAAGTGCCAGAAGACTGGAGCGTTCCCCAGCTAATGAAAGACATACTGGCATTGGAGGCAGTCCATAGAAGGTTCACTCAGCTGATCCCGTATATGGAGGATCTCTCTTATGTCAGTTGGGTCTGTCATCATTAGAATTTAGAAGAATGAGAGATGATCTTATTGAAACATAGAGTCTTAGGCAACTTGACAGGGTAGATTCAGAGAGGGGTTTTCTCCCCCCTGTGTGGAAGGATCTAGGAGTAGAGAGCTCGGAGTAAGGGGCTCACCTGGTTAGGTCAGAGAGTGGTGACACTTTGGAACTATCTGTATCTCTACACCAGTTGGCTGTGAAAGCATGATCATGGACTCTATTCAAGACAGCAATCAACTAATTTCCAGATGATGCATTATCCCCACATTGCTTGATGCAATGTGGAGATCATGTAGGCACAGACGATCAGCCACGGCCTAGGAATGGTGGGGTCAGCTCAATGGACTGAATGGCCCAATTCCATGCCTATGATCAGTCTTAGCAAGGTGGTTGATGGGAAAACAGAGGGAAGACCAAGCTGCAATTTTCCAACATACCACTGAGCTTTTATGCATCACTGTCTGGATTTCCTGCCATTGAATCAGCTTCAATTGTCATTAAACTCAGCACAATTTCAACAGGAATTTCAAAACTAAACCAACAGATTCTGATAGATAGGCAAACAGCACCACCTGGTGGAAACCAAAAGAACTGCGGATGCTGTAAATCAGGGAAAAAAACAGAAGTTGCTGGAAAAGCTCAGCCGGCCTAGCAGCATCTGTGAAGGAAAAAAAATCCCTCAACCAGGTCCAACCCATCTCCCGCACTTCCTCCCTTATTCCCCCACCCCGTTCCTTCCTGCAACAGTGATAGGGTTCTCCTTGTCCTTACCTGCCATCCCACCAGCATTCACATCCAGAAGATCATCAGACGCCATTTCCACCAACTCCAGCGAGTCTCCACCACCAGACACATACTCCCCTTCCCTCCCTTGTCCGCCTTCCAGAGGGACCGTTCCCTCCGGAACACCCTAGTCCATACTTACTTCACCCCCAATACCCCCACAATCCCACGGCACCTTCTGTAACCAGCGAAGGTGCAACACCTGCCCATTTACCTCCTCCCTCCCCAGTATCCAAGGGCCCAAACATACCTTCCAGGTGAAGCAACACTTCACCTGCACTTCCCAGAATCTAGTCTACTGCATTCGCTGCTCACAATGTGGTCTCCTCTACATTGGGGAAACGAAGCATAGACTAGGAACATCTACGTTCCGTGTGCTAAAGACTCCAGGCTTCCAGTTGCCTGCCACTTTAACGCACCACCCTGTTCCCTGGCCAACATCTCTGTCTCAGGCGTACTGCAGTGTTCTAGTGATGCTCATCGCCAGCTGAAAGAATAACACCTCATTTTCCACTTGGGGACCCTGTAGCCCTCCAGACTCAATATCAAGTTCAATAATTTTAGGGCCTAAACTCTCCCATGTCCCAGCCCCCTACCCCACACACCAGGCCTTGTTACCACATAGCCTGCCGTTACACACCCCATGTTGTTAGTCACTAATAGTCCCCATTAACAACTATTCACCCTCCCAGCCTGATCGTTACCAACTCCTTTGTCTATCCAACTGCTCTTCTCTCTCTTCGGGCTCTATCCTACTGTTTACTCACTACCCCACCCTCTGTCCCTATTTTCTGCATATAAACCGACGTTTTCCCAGCCATCAGTTCTGAGGAAGGGTCACCGGACGCGAAACATTAAATCTGATTTTTTTTCTTCACAGATGCTGCCAGACCTGCTGAGCTTTTCCAGCAACTTCTGTTTTTGTACCACCTAGTGGAAGACTAACTCCAACACAATAATTGTTTGATTCCCTTTCCCTCAGCTTGTTCCTCCTGACTCTTAACATGGAGTCAGTTTCTTACGAATGACCAGAACAGCCTATTTAACCACAAATGCCCAGATAGCGGATGAGGCCGCATGCTGTTTGGCGGCAGTCAACACCCAAAAGGTGCTGAAGACTATCTGGGCTCCTCCTCCAAACCAGACACTGGTGTCAGCATCTGCTGTGGTATCCTGAACTGAGAAGGTTGTGGGTTCCAGTCCCACTGTAACCACATGAGTAGCAAAGGAGGGATCTCGGTTGGCCGCTGATCAGTCTGTCACCACTCCCCTGTTTGCGGGAGGTTACTTTGCACAAACCGGTTGCCATTTTTCTATATTAAAAAAAGCAACAGAGTTTTCTTTAAGAAGCTTTAAAATTTTGGAAAGGTGCTATACAAATGCACCTGTCAGCAGGTCACTTCCCAACTGAGCTAAGTGATAGTTGGTTAAAAAAAAAAATTCACTCCACCCCACCCACAGTGCCCACCTCTCTGTAAAGGCACATCAACAGCACTGATGGGCACCATGTGCTTCTTCTCCAATGACGCCCAGGCACAAAGTTAACCACAGAAGCGGGTAGAGAGTCAGCAGAAATGACCCCCTCCACAGCCCACCGCCTGGACCTGTTAATAGCCAGGAAAATGCAGTTTATATTTGTTTTAAAACCAAAAATACACAAAACTGAATGTTTGTATTCGCCATCACCCAATCACCCACGGTACTTATTTTTTTGTACCACCACCGGTAAAATCACTCGTGTTTCCAACTGAAAAATTTACATGCAAAACCCGTTAAGGGCAATGGAAACCATCAAAAGGTGGGAGAGACAGGGAAGGGGCCAAGTCAAAATGAAGTGGGAAAGGAAGATAAAACGCTCAGTGCCTCTAGCTAAAGGCATCAGGGGTATGTGTGGTACAGCTTGCTCTCTCCTCTGGCACACCCAGGCACAGATGCAGCCACAGAAGAGGGGCAGGCTGTCAGTGGCTATAACCCTCCACAACACAGACCTGTTAACGGCCAAGAGAATCCAGCTTTTTAAAAACTAATTGCCAATCAGTCCGTTCGGTGATGTCATTGTGCACCTCTGGAGCAGGTGGGATTTGGGTGTCCTGGTTCAGAGGTAGCGACTTTACCACTGTGCCATAAGAGGCTTGTCAGAATGCAGTTCCTTTTCTTCTCTTTTTTTTCCTACACCCAGAAGTGTGATCACAAACAACTCAACGACTTTCCCACCACCAAAATCTTTTAACTACCACCAGTGTAGCCATTCAAATATTTAACAAGTGAAGCCTATTATGGGAATGCAAACCATCGACAGTGAGGCCGAGGTAGGGAGGGAGAGAAGGGGATAAACCAAGAGAGAGTTGGAAGGGGAGATAAAGCACTGCAGAATGCAGCTCTTTTATTTTCTATTAATCTATATTTTCTAATCAACCTGTTCAAAGATGTTACTACACACCTCTGGAGGAAGTGGGACTTGAACTTGGATCTCCCTGGCCAAGGGTAGGGATACTACCACTGCACCACAAGACAGCCTTCACAATACTGCTCTTTTTTCTTTATATTACCGATTTTACATGTTCAACCTGTTCAGAGATGCTATTACACATCTCTGAGCAGGTGTGACTTGAACCCGGTCCTCCTGGTCCAGGAGTAGGGACACTACAACTGTGCCAGAAGAGGAGCTTCACAATGCAGCCTTTATTTTTTCCCCAAAGTCCAACGAGCAGCACGTTGTTCTCAAAATCAATTCTGGAGCTTTTCTGGATAACCCTTAAAGGGGCCTGTGCTTCTAAGACTGACATCCCACACCACCATAGTACTCACTTTGCTCGTCTCAGCCACTTAATAGCTTCTTCTTTCCTCGCCTGTTGTATATATAGCAGACTGAGCTCCAGAAGTGCATTTGGAATCAAGTAGTGGTCAAACTTAATGTTCTTCTCACTGTCAGTGAACCAAGGGTGAGGAGGTTATTTCTTTCGGTTCAATTCTACAATAGCTACATCCACAGCCGCCTCCCCCCCAACACCCCTGTACTCACTTGTGGTATATGTAGACAAAGCACTGCTCAGCTTCCAAGACATTTCCCAAATGCCTCAAGCATAAGCCTTTCAAGAGTTTCACCATGCACCTGTCATCCGTCAGGTAGTCATTAGCTAAGGAGAAGGACAGGAAGTTAGTCTGAAGGAATATACAACGTAGAAATGTACAGCACAGGCCCTTCGGCTCACAATGTTGTGCTGAACCTGACGCCAAAGTAAACAAATCCCTTCTGCCTGCCATTGGTCCATATCCCTCCATTTCTTCAATACATATGCTTATCTAAAAGTCCCTTAAATGCCCCTAATGTATCTGCCTCCACGACTACCCCTACTCCAAACACCCTCTGTGTAAAAATCTTGCCCCTCATGTCTCCTTTGAACTTTCACCTCTCACCTTAAATGCAGGCCCCCTAGTATTAGGCATTTCAGCTCTGAGAAAAAGATTCTAATGTCAACCCTAACTATGCACCTTGTAATTTTATAGACTTCTATCAAGCCTCCCCTCAGGCTCTGCCACTCTAGGGAAAACAGTCCGAGTTTTTCTAGAAATATCACTTGCAAAGCGAGTGCTGCAGAAATGAAAACGGGGCTGATCTCAGTCCGAGCAGCGAGAGAGGCAATTAGACAGTGATCACTCCCAATGTTGAACCTCGCTGGAGCCAGAGGACTTAGCATCCCACTCTGAGCATGAGCTACAGGCTGACGCTCCCAGCAGCGCTGAATGCCACCCTGCCAGAGGTGCCCATCTTGTGGCCAAGGTATTAAACTGAAGCCGTCACAGGTAACACATGGTTCCACTTGGAAGGACAGGTGGCTCAGCTGTTGGTGTACTGGTAATGTGACCAGATTATTAATCCAGAACCTCAGGTCTGGATTCAAATCCCCCCCCATGCCAAATCTTCACATTTGAATTTGATCAAACTAAAAGCTGGAAATAAAATGGTAATTGTCAGGGGAAAACCCCACCGATTTCATTACTGTTTTAGGGAAGGAAATCTACTATCGCTTACCTGGTTATAGTGTCATACAGCATTGAAACAACTCGTCCATGCTGACCAAGGTTCTCAAACTAAACTAGTCCCATTTGACTGTGTTTGGCCCAATTCCCTCTAAACCTTACCTGTCCAAATTTATTTTAAATGTTGTAACTATACCTGCATCTACCACTTCCTCTGGCAGTTCATTCCATACACACACCACCCTCTGAGTGAAAAAATTGTCCCTCAGGTCCCTTTTAAATCTTTCTCCTCTCACCTTAAAACTATGCCCTCCAGTTTTGAAATCCCCCCAATCTAGGAAAAGACCTTTGTACTCACTTTATCTATGCCCCTCATGATGGTCATATATGCGACTCCAGACTCTCAGCAACATGATTAACTCTCAACTATCCTCTGGGCAAGTAGGGATGGACAATAACAAGCCAGCAACACCCCATCCAATGAATGAATGATTTTTTTTTAAAAATCCTTTTTAAACTTGGTCAATCCCAATTCCCTAGAATTACATAAATCGTAGCATCCCTACAAAGCAGAAAGAGGCCATTCTGCCCATCGAGTCTGTAATGACCCTCTGAAGAGCATTCTATCCAGAACTACCCCTCTCTCTCCCTATCCACGAAACTCTACCCTGACCATAGTTCATCCACCTAGCCTCCTCAACCATTGCTTTTTAACAGGACTTCCCAAAGCTAGTATCAGACACCCTTGTATGCACTTTCAGTGGGTTCTATTTTTTCGTAGCAGTATTCAAAGGTATCTTGTGTGTGAAGGCATTTACTTCTCATAATTCATAATTCTGAACATAAAAGCAGCTCTTTGTCCAAATGATTCTGACAATATAAAATGTGCCTCGGTTTCACCTTGCGGGATGTGGAGGTCACTAGTACAGGGTCTTGTTCATTATCCATCCCCAATTGCTCTGGAACTTGGGCGTCTTGCTCAGGCCAGAGGGCACCTAGATGCCAACCACATTACTGTGGGTCTAGAGTCACATGTAGGACAGACCAGGTGAGAAAGGCACATTTCATAGAAACATTTGAACAGGAGTAGGCCATTCAGCCCCTTGAGCATATTTCGCACCACTCAATGAGATCATGGCTGTGGCCTTTCCATATGCCACTGGCCTATACCCCTTTTGCTTAACAAAAAAATCTCAGATCTAAAAATTAACAATCGCTGCTGCAAACCTTCCTGACAGTGAACCAGATGGGTTTTTAACAACATGTGATGGAAGCTTGCTGGTTCCCATACTGAGACTAACTTCTCAACTCCTGATTTATTGAGTGTCACTAACTCCCACAGCAGGATTTGAACACAGTCCCCTCAGTACTAGTCTCTACTTTACTAGCCCAGTGACTTTACCACCACACCACCATCTCCCCAGCTCCATGATGTTCAACTTTGCCAAGAGTGAGTGTACAGGAGTCTGATTAAAGCTTTGGACTGGTTGTTTCTTTTAAATCTACTGGAGGGCATGGAAAGAGGCACATTCTGTTTTTTTTCTCGCTTCCATTCTGAAGACAAACGCAGCTTTCACGAAGGGGAAGGCAGAGACTGGAAAGGGGAGGGCTGCAGGAAAGAAAATACACCCAGTGCAAACATTTGGACACAAGGTCCAAACCTGACCAGCTGGTGGTGTGAACTGTGTGATGCAGGATGGGTAACTGAAGCGAGGGCAACCTCAGATTCTGCAATTACATGAAGGAGGGTTAAACTGAAGAAACATGGTGGGGGAGAGCAGACAAGTGAGACTTAACTGGATAGCTCCTTGACAGAGAAGGTGCAGAGTGGCCTCGTTCAGTGAGCACTGGTAAGCACATTATTGGTAAGATGTTTGTGAAGGTGGTGGGCTACCTAGAACTAGGGGGGTGCGGTTTCAAAATAAGAAGTCACCCAATTAGGATGGAGGTGAGGAGGAGTTTCTTCCGTCAGATGGTCATTGGTGTTTGTAATTCTCCTCCACTCAAAGCAGTGCAGCCAGGATCATTGGATATAGTCAAGGCTGAGTTAGACAGATCAAACAAGGAGCCAAGAGGCACAGTCAGGAAGGTGGAGTTAAAGCAACAATCATGTCAGCCATGACCTTAAGGAATGTCAGAATAGGCTTGAAAGGCTGAATCTACTCCTGCCTCTGGTTTTTGATGGTCTTACAAGTGTGTTGCAGTTGGATGTTCATTTGGGATATCAACCCAAGAATAACTCAACTCTATGGGAGTCTCCAGAATTTGCAGCCACAGTTCCATCGTCAGTCAGCAGCTTCCCCTCAGTGGGATCTTGCTGTGCAGCCACTGGCTGGTGTAATTAGCTGCACAATAGTGAGGGCATTTCAATGAATAGAATGTAACTTGGGATGCCTTAAACCGACAGGGAGCAAGGCTCTAAACATAATGACCTTCGTCATGTGTAAGTGCCAGTCAGTACGTACGTGCTGCTTGCTCTAGCGCCGTCTCTGCCTCACTGATCGTTCTCAGCATTTCTTCCGTAAGATCCCGCTGTTTACCGATGACTGTGAAGCCATTCCACATGTACATCATTTCCTGTTGGAGGGGAGGTAAGGGTAAGGGTGTTAAGAGGAGAAAAGTGACGCTTAGAGGGGTTATTTTCTAAAAGGTTTCTTGTCCCTGAAGAGTTCAATTGTCCGTGTTTGATTCTGAGAGTTTGCTAACCAATCTATGCCCACTTTGCTTGATTGGTTATGCCTGGGTGAAGACTCAGAGTAATGTAAACAGGCAATTTCATACATGTTGTGGTTGTAGAGGTATTTTGCAACACACACTTGGAAACTAGTGCGATCTGCACATTGCTTAGAAACATATAAAATGTATAATAATCCTTAATGAGCTATAAATAAAATTTACCAACTCCCCTCAACACCACACCCTAAATTCCCTTAGTATGCTTTCAATACAAGGAAGGGTCTCATCTGATGGCCTCACAGTTTTTCTTTATTCATTCATGGGATGAGGGTGTCGCTGGCTAGGACAGCATTTATTGCCCATCCCTAATTGCCCAAGCACCAGTCAGAGCTCCACCAGATTGCTGTGTGTCTGGAGTCACATGTAGGCCAGACCAGGTAAGGATGGCAGATTCCCTCCCTAAAAGGACATGGGTGATCCAAATGGGTTTTCCCAACAATTGACAGCAAGTTTAATAGTCATCATTTCACTCGTAATTCCAGATTTTTTTTAAAATTGACTTCAATTTATCCAATGGTGCGATTAGAACCCAAGTCCCCAGAACATTATCTGAGTCTGTGGGTTAATAGTCTTGTGTTAATACCGCTTTGGCCATCACCTCCCCGAAATCCTGTGGACTACTAAACTCATCTATTTCTCTCTGGACCGTAAAAGTAATACCTTTAGCATTTTCCTGTTAAATTGAGGATACAAGTCGCATAAGTTCAGTAACCACTGAACTGTATAGGGAGTTATACAGCATAGTAGGAGGTCATTCAACCCACTAAGTCCATGCTGCCTTCTTGAATAGAGACATCCATTTAATTCCACTCCCCCAACTTCTCCTCATGGCCCTTCCACTGGTTCCTTTACAATCAATTATCCAATTTCCTTTGAAAGTTCCTGTTGAATCTGTTTCCACCACCCTTTCAGCCAGCACATTTCAGATCACAGTAACTCACTACTTTAAAAAAGTCTTCTCATCATTTTCCATAACTTCTTTTAACAATTAGATTATATCCGTGTCCTCTGATTGCCTACGATACATTAAAAAATTAATGTTAAGGCATTAATAATTAACGGTGACTTTAAATCAGTTCAGAAATAAACCCACAAAGATATTTCGGTGCATTCCACAGAGACGCATTCGATAATAAATTGGTTCTTTGGAAAGATATACCAATGATAAAACTTATTAAAACACCCCCTTTCTGGAATTGTATGCAATTCTGCAGAAACATGTGAATTACCACTCAGGCAGTAAAAAGTTTAAGAAAAGCGTAAAAGAGGTAGGCATTGGGAACCCATTCAAACTTACAAAATTCTTACAGTGTGTAAATGGGATGTTTCTTCTACTGGTGAATCTAGAGACAGATGACATAAGCCGAGGATAAGGGGCAGACCATTTTGGACTGACGAGGAGGAGGAGGAAGAATTTATTCATTCAGAGGGTGTTGAATCTTTGAAATTCCCTACTCTAGAGGACCACGGGAGACTTAGTCATTGTTCAAGACTGAGATCAATAGGTTTCTGGAGAGTAATTGCATCTAAGGATATTGTGCAGGCAAATGGCATTGAGGAGATGATCAGGCATCATCTAGGGGTGGCTTGATGGGCTGAATAGCCTGTTTCTGTTCTTATGTTCCTGTGGCATAGCACTCAGAGGTCTGCAGATTGTAAATCAACCACATAAATAGTCCTCCAACTAAACTCAGATGGTTATGCGCGTAGGTCTCTAAAGTTATGTTCTACAGCATTATTAAATGATGACATTTATTATTTCAAGCTCTGTTAGTTTTCAGGAGTAAGGAACACAGATATTTACCCTTCCTGTGGTGCATTTTGTTTGTATTCTTTCATAGTGTGTGGGTGTTGCTGGCTGGGCCCAGCATTTATTGCCCATCCCTAATTGCCCTTGAGAAGGTGGCAGTGAGGTGCCTTCTTGAACCATTGCAAATACTGACGGGGTCAATAACAGCCTCTGGGATAGGGAGTTTCACTATTGACAGTTCCTCTGACAGTGCAGCACACCCTCAGGACAGGGCTGAAAGGTCAGGCTGGATTATGAACCAACTCTTAAGACAGAGCGGAGAAGGTCATTGGCAAAGCCAAGCTGGCATACATTATTTTCTCTTTCACCCCTGAACCCTTACCCCAGACAGGTGAAGATTGACTGCACTGTCCCCAGTTGATGCTGGTTCCTACAGAAATGGTTGGTCGACTCTGAAATAGCCTTGCAAACCAATCAGTTGTGGAGGTAACGGGCACGGTGGTTCCGTGGTTAGCACTGCTGCCTCACAGCATCAGAGACCCAGGTTCGATTCCAGCCTTGGTCGACTGTCTGTGTGGAGTTTGCACATTCTCCCTGTGTCTGTTTGGGTTTCCTCCAGGTGTTCCTGCAGACCAATGCTGCGCAGGTTAGGTGGTTTGGCCATGGTATAAACCCCATGTGGGGTGGGAGGGATGTTCTTCAGGAGGTCAATACAAGCCAAATGGTGTCTTTCAGCACTGTAGGGATTCTACTCTATGTTCACTAGGGTGACCGACTCAGACCCTGCACAAAAGGGGTGCAGGGTGACTCAGCACCAGATGTTATCTGATGGAGAACAGGGAAAGGAATGTAACTGAAGAGGTAACTCAGCACTGGCTCGGGCTCCAGGAAGGCACAGGCTGCCCAGGTGAGTAACCAAAGACCCCCACACCAACATCGAAGGCTCATGCCAAAACTGAGAGAGATCTGTACCACACACTTGTCACATATAACACTGTCACACTCACAGAAGCACACCTTACACACAACGTCCCAGGATCGAACGGGAAACAACTTTAACACAAACAGAATTTGCTGGAGAAACTCAGCAAGGTCCTGGCAGCCTCTGTGGAGGGGAAGCAGAGTTGACATTTCCAGTCAGTTAACTTCCTCAGAACGGTTACCTCTGTTTCTCTCTCCACAGATGCTGCCAGGACCTTGCTGAGTTTCTCCAGCAAATTCTGAAACAAATTTTGTTTTGGATTTCCAGCATCCGCAGTTCCTTTTTTTTTTGATTAGCAAACAACTTTAGTCTCTCTCAGTCTGCCTTTGCTCCTTCCGCCTACACAGTCACTGAGCTCCCAGGAATTAAAAGGGAGGCCTCTCTATAAGCAGGTCTCCTCATTGAAGTTTCCCTCAGTGCAGGCTCATGAAGGTATTGGGAATAAACTCACCAGAGCTGGTACTGGCAGCCTCACAGCGTAGTTGGACTTGTATCTTCTGGCTTTTCGAATAGCGAACTTCTCAGTGGGGGGAGACTTACCAGCGATCTTCTGCTTCAGCAAGGGTACTTGTCTGTGAGAGAGAGAAGAAAATAGATTTTAAACTGACAGTTCGCCAAGAACACAAATAAACATTACAGAGACAGAGACAATTAAAACTGCATGTTGCTGATATCTTTGCACCCACTGTGTTCAAGGCTGTGTCCTCACTTAAAGTCAGGGTCGCATTCCTGAGAATTGCAACATGGAGTGAAAAGTGATTCACACAGGAAGGTGTCCCAGAGGGAAAAGTGGGGAGGAATAGCAAGGGAGGGGAGAGGACAGAGTGAACAGGTGAAAAGGGAGGGATGGAGGGGGAGCAGAAGGAGACAGGGGGTGCAGAAGGAGGGAGGGGTAAGAGAAGGAGGGAGGGGGAGAGGGAGAGCAGAAGGAAGGAGGGAGAGAAGAGGGAGGGAGAGAAGAGGGAGGGAGAGGGAGAAAGGAAAGGTGAGGAAGGAAAGAAGGAGAAAAGCGAGGGGAGGTAGAGAAGATGGAGGGAGGTGGATGAACAAAGGAAGGAAGAAAAGGAGAGGACAGAAGGGAAGGGAGGAAGGAGAGGAGATGGAGAGAAAATGGAGGGATGGAGGGAAGAAAGGAGGGAGGGTGAGAGGAGGGAGGAGAAGTGGCTTCCAAGCTTGGCAGTAGATAGCCTTCTACAGATCAGCTCCACTGCTCTCCATCTCAGGATGTCGCTGGAGGGCGGTGACTGCAGGGTGTAGGGTGTAGGGTGTAGGGTGGGGGGTGTAGTCTGGGGCCTGGTATGTTTGGGGGTGGAGGGGGACTCCCTTGTGAAGACCTCAGCCACAGATGTGGCAGAGGGAGGGGTCCACTAGTCAGACAGAGGAGGGTCACTCCTAACCAGGTCAGGTCAGGTCCTACAGCACCTTCATTCATGTGAAGCTGGTAACACTCAAGGAGTGAAATGATGCTGAAAGAGGCAACATTAAAAATGATTTTAAGCCAGGTACGTGAGGAAGATAAATCTTACTAAGCAGAGAGACAGGCTGCTGCAGTTTTTCGATTTGCATCCATCAGGACAAAGAGCAAGAATACCAAATTTCAAACAGCACAACAATTTCTGTTAGAGAAGAACAGGGTGCAAATAGATATTAAAATCAGCTCTGATTGGCTTAGGTGTTGCCCTGGAGAAAGGAATGAGGAACTACATAGATTCCCCCTATTTGCAGATAATTTGAAAAGAAATGCAAATTTTGAACATATTCCTTTTGTTTGGAGAGAAAGTGACCTTGTATATGTGGTTTCCAGCAAGTATAAACAAGCTAAAATAACAGGCTCAACTCAGGATCTCAAATTGGTTGTTGGTGCTGCTATTAGCTCACTCAGGATTGTTCAGTAGATACTGCCCAATCACCAAATTACATGTAATAGTGGACTTTTGGTTTTGCAGGAGCAGGCTGGTTGAGAAGTTCACTCAGGATTGTTGGCAGAGTCTGGCTTGTACCCAATGAGCCAACCCTTGCAAAATCAAAAGTCCACTATTAGATATAATTCCATGATTGGGCAGTACCTGCTGAACAATCCTGAGTGAGTTTCTAAATGCACTAAAAAGAAATCAAATGCATCTAATGCACTTAAGCAAAGCAAGACAGTGTGAAATGATGCCAAAGTTTTGCCAGTATGTCAAATATTGCACTAATGTCACATCCATTCAGTCCACAACTGGTGTTGAGTCAATCTGCATACTTCACCTATGAAGTGGAGGTGAATGAGAACCATTCACCACAGTCCTTTCACCATGCAGAAGTACCCCATTCAGCCCATCAGGGAACAAACTGCCCTGGCACAACTCAGTCAACTCTCCAAATGGTGTCAAAGCTTTACAAATGGCTGCACCCAAGCAGCAGGTTGCTGGTGCATAAGTATATATATCCACGGGGGCATGGAAATTCACCAAGTGGAAACAACTCACTCTATCCGTGGGATGGAGGGAAATATCCTCTGGGAATTTGACCCACCTGAAGAGTTCGACCTCATCGTCCCCGAAGGGTTTTGCTTCGTGTGCAGGTAACATACTCAGGTATGCAGCTTTCATGTAGACGTACATAGCCTGGGGGAGAACAGGACTAGTCATTGTAGGGCACTCTGGAACTTTGAGGAAAGCTGCTCAATAAATAGCTTGGTAAATAGCTTGTGTTTATCTTTCTCCTTGCCACTCACATCATAATTGGGCACTCAAATGAAATTTGTAGATGTTTCTGGAAGGTTCATAGATTCAAAGTGACACGTTGGATATATAAACAAAACTGTGAAGTCACTATAATCATTAGAGAGAGATAGAGAGACAGAGAGAGTTAGCTGGTGATGGTTTAACTTGAGGGTTACATGTCTCAGGTGAGGGGAGAGTCTTTCACAGTATTGTCAGCTGGTGCTGGAATTGAACCCATGCTGTCGGTGTCCCTCTGCATTGCAAACATCCATCCAGCCAACTGACCCCCTGCATAAACGGTGTTGAAGTAAACAGGGTTTTAAAAAAAAGGCCTCAAGATGAGATAGCAAGAACTGCCGATGCTGGAGTCTGAGATTACGGTGTGGAGCTGGATGAACACAGCAGGCCAGGCAGCATCAGAGGAGCAGGAAAGCCGACGTTCCGGGTCGGGACCCTTCTTCAGATAAACGTCAACTTTCCTGCTCCTCTGATGCTGCCTGACCTGCTGTGTTCCTCCAGCTCCATACTGTAGCACTCAAGATGATAGAGTTTAAACAGGATAGCCAACAGCAGGGATGGATGGTGGAGGCAGAGTTGGATCTTGCTGTTACTAGACATTTGCACTTTACACCGAGCGTTCAACTTCTCTTCTCACCCTTCCCTTAAAAGAGCAAACGCCTGCTATACATTCTTACACAGTCCAGCCTCTGTGGCCCCAATCCCAAAGCAAGGTGGTTGGTTTTTTGACTGCTCCCTGAGATGGCCCAGCAAGCCACCCAGTTGTACTTTACTGAAACATATCCTAGAAGCTAGAATCAGGGGTACAGTTCAGAACAAAGGATGTCCCATTTTAAAACAGAGACAAGATTGGGGGCTGTCTTCCAGGAACAGCGAACTAAAGGAGCAGGAGGTGGCCATTCAGCCCTCTCAAGCCTGCTACCCTGTCCTTTGATAGGATTGTGGTTATTTTTCCACCTGCCTGCCCCCATCCCCGTAATCCTTCCCTTCCTTGTTGACGAGAAAAGTCTGCTGAACACAGTCTGGAATAAAGTCGGTGTCCCAGCTCCCGTCTCACTACGCCAGAGAATTCCAAACATGAACAACCCTCCAAGGCCTATTCGAGACAGAGATGGGCAGGACTGAATTCTCCCAGAGAGTCGTTATCCTGTATAATTCCTTGCCCCACCCAAGACCAGTGGAAGCTGCACGCTGAACACATTCGAGCATGAGTTAGGATTTTGACACATTTGTTGTTGGTGGTGTTTGGAAGGGAGTTCCTGGGTTTTGACCTCAGCAACACTGAAGCATTTATGAATGTCCTCCTGCAATGTCACCCTATCGGTAAATTCTTCCTTTCTCCCTCGTGTTTATCCAGTTCCCCCCGCCAGACCCCTCTTTAAAATGTATCAGTCCAACTCACCCTTAACACTCCCTGTGATAGTAATGTCCACATTCTCACCACTGACTGTGGAAAAGGCATTTCCACTGAATTTCCAACATTAATTTTGGTGTTTTTTATTCATGAGGGCATCACTGGCTAGGCCAGCATTTATTGCCCATCCCTAATTGCCCAGAGGGCAGTTAAGAGTCAACCCCATTGCTGTGGGTCTGGAGTCACATGTAGGTCAGACCAGGTAAGGATGGCAGTTTCCTTCCCTAAAGGGCATTAGTGAACCAGACGGGTTTTTCCCTAACAGCCAACAATGGATAAATGGTCATCGTTAGGATTCTTCATTCCAGATTTTTAATGGATTCAAATACCACTATCTGCCATGGCAGGATTCAAACTCGCGTCCCCAGAACATTATCTCGGTTCTGGATTAATGGTCCAGCAATAATACCACTAGGCCATCGCCTCCCCATGTTTATGTAGCACCTTTAATGTAAGAAGTCATTCTGGGCACTATAAAAAAATGTATGACAGGGAAGGAGGGTCTTTCTGAAGAAAGGTCCTGACCCAGAACATCAACTTTCCTGCTCCTCTAATGCTGCCTGGCCTGCTGTGTTCCTCCAGCTCCACACTGTGTTATTTAGGGGCTCACATCTATTATCTTCCTCTCAGACAGTTCCTTAGGATTGAAGATGACTTACTTTCAACCTAGTTCTGTGGGTTCAGAGATGGTTGGTGTCTAACTTATTATGCTGGATTTACTCGTGACTCTCTGGGATTCACTGCCTCCACTTCTAGTCTTCCCCATAATAGAAACACCCTCACCACCCCTACACAATCAAATCCCCACTATAGTTTTAAAGGTGTCTAATAGGTCATATGCTCGTTAAAATCAGGACCTGACGAAGTGGGGAATTCCCCTTTCTGTCATTCTTATAGTGTTTTGTTCTCAAGGTCAGTCCCCCTTAAAACAGATAGACATGGTGGTTTCATGGTAATATCACTGTTATTGGAAACTGCTGGAAAAACTCAGCAGGTCTGGCAGCATCTGGAGAGGGAAAGCCAAGTTAACATTTCAAGTCTGATGTGACTCCCCTTAAGAAGTTCCATTAACTCTGTTCTCCTCTCTCCACAAATGCTGCCAGACCTGCTGAATTTTTCCAGCGCTTTCTCTTTTTATTTCAGATCGCCAGCATTTGCTTTTATTTTAATCATCCAGCTAAACCTCGAGGGACGGAGGTTCAAATCCCATCACGGCAGCTGATGGAATTTAAATTCACTTAATAAATCTGGAATTGAAAAGTGGTCTCAGTGGTGGCAGCCACTACAACTGTCATTGATTATTGTAAAAACCCATTTGGTTTGAAGGACACTAATGTCCTTTAGGAACATCTGCTGTCTTTATTGGTCTGGCCTACATGTGACTCCAGGCCCACAGTGATGTTGACTCTTAACTGCCCTTTGAAGTGACCAAGCAAAAACAGCATGGGCAACAAATGCCGCCTTTGCCAGTGACACTAATAACGCAGCAAAGAACTTAATAGAAAGTAATCTCCCCACCATTAATCACAGAGTCACTACAGAATACAATAAGGCCCTTCGGCCCATTGAGTCTGTGCCGGTTATCAAGCATCCATCTATCCTAATCCCATTTTCCAGAACATGGCCCATAGGCTTGTAGATACATTCTAATCAACCTGTTCAGAGATGTTATTACACACCTCTGGAGAGGTGGGACTTGAATTTGGGCCTCCTGGCTCAGAGGCAGGGACGCTACCGCTGCACCATGAAAGCCCTTAGTTCTTCAGTGTAGTTAGTTCCTTAATCAACATGTTCAACAGATTTTATGACACACCTCTGGAGCAGGTAAGACTCGAACAAAGGCCTCTTGGCTCAGTGGTAGGACACTACCACTGCGCCACAACAGCCCTTACCGTCATTTCGTATTGCATTGATGTTTCAAGTGCTCGTCTAAATACTTCTTAAATGTCCTGAGGGTTCCTGCGTATGCCAGCATTTTAGGCAGAGAGTTCCAGATACCCACCATGCTCTGAATCCTCTCTAAACCTCCTGCTTCTTACCTTAAAGTACGGCCCTCACCTTAGACCAGCGGTTCTCTTTGCTGAGGAGGTCAGCGTAGAAGTAAGCCACCTTCCACAGCTGCTTGTAGGTAAAGCACCACATCAGCTCCCAGTAGCACATGTGATGGAATTGCTTCCAGGCTTGCTGTGCAGCACAGCCTTCCTCGAACCTTCTGATTGCCTACATTCAACACACATTAGCAAGTTACTACACTGTACTGTCACCATGGACTCCAAATCCCACTTCATCATTTAATTGACAAACATCTCTGAAGACTAGATTTACCAGGATGTTGCTGGGACTGGAGGGTTTGAGCTATAGGGAGAGGCTGAATAGGCTGGGGCTATTTTCCCTGGAGCATCAGTGGCTGACAGGTGACCTTATAGAGGTTTATAAAATCATCAGGGTAATGGATAGGGTGAATAACCAAGGTCTTTTTCCTAGGATGAGGTACAGTCCAAAACTAGAGGACGTAGGTTTATGGTGAGAGGGGAAAGATTTAAAAGTGACCTGAGGGGCATCATTTTCACGCAGAGGGTGGTGTGTGTATGGAATGAGCTTCCAGAGGAAGTGATGGTGGCTGGTACAATTACAGCATTTAAAAGGCATCTGGATGGGTATTAGAACAGGAAAGGTTTTGAGGGATATGGGCCAAATGCTGGCAACAGGGACTAGGTCAGACTAGGGTATCTGGTCAGCACGGATGAGTTGGACTGAAGGGTCCATTTTCATGCTATAAAACACTATAACTAGACTTCCGAAATTGGTGGCTTCTCCTCCAAGGATATGCTGGACAGGTTAGGAATGTATGAACTGGATATCAGAAGAGGGTGACAATCGAATCACACTAGATCCTGAGAGGTCATGAGAGGGAAGAATGTGTCCTCTTGTGGGAGAATGTGGAACCAGGGGTCACTCCTTAAAAAGAAGGGGGTCACCCGTTTAAGGCAGAGGCAAAGAGACAGTTCTTCTCTCAGAGCATCATGAGTCTTTGGAACCCTCCTCCTGAAAAGATGATGAAAGCAAAGTCGTTGAATATTCTTAAGGCAGCAGTAGACAGATTCTCAGTAAGTGGTGAGGTGGGGGGGTGGTGTTGGTGAGAATTTATCTGCAGTACGTGGGAATGTGGAGCGATCAGATCAGCCATGATCTTATTGATTGACTAAGTAGGCTTAAAAGGGCTGAATGGCTGACTCCTAAATCGTAAATTTGTACGTACGTCCTCTGCTTTAATAAACTTCCTCATGCTTTTAACATAGGGTGTAGTTACTAGCTTTGTGGTGAGTGGGCTGGCATGGTGGCTCAGTGGTTAGCACTATTGCCTCATAGGGTTCGATTCCACCTTCAGGTGACTATCTGTGCGCAGTTTGCGGGTTTGCCCTGCGTCTGCGTGGGTTTCCTTCCACAGTGCAAAGATGTTCGGTTTAGACGGATTGGCCACGGGGATTGCAGGGTTACGGGGATTGGGTAGAGGCTGGGTTTGGGTTGGATGCTCTTCGGAGGGTCAGTCCAGACTTGATGGACTGAACAGCCTCTTTCCGCGCTGTAGGGATTCTTTGAGTCAGTGAAAACATTACAGTTTAGACACGGTTTTCTGCCTTCAATACTGAAGTCAAAATCATCCAGCCGTCTTTGTTCAAAGTCAGTTTTCTGCTTCAACTTGCATTTCCTAATATCTGACATTGCCATTTACAGCCACAAATGTTTATGAAGGGTTTGGTTGGTGCAGGCTGTTCATGCGCGTATGATGGAGACCAAGCGTTATGGGGAGGAGGCAGGAGAATGGGGTTGAGAAATGCATAGGCCATGATCGAACGCTGGAGCAGACTCGATGGGCCATTAGGCCTTATTCTGCTCCTATATCTCATGGTCTGATGGCTATCCCCTCAACCATCAGACATCCGTCCTCTATTTTTAGAGTTTCCTCCACACACACATTTTCATATAGAGCCAAGGACAAATCTACCCCATTGACACATACCAGAGACAGTCTGTGTTCAGTGCAAAATGGGCCTTTGGAGCTTTGTCAAGAGGATTTAAAAAAAAAGGTCAATTGTATTTGGGAGGATAATTGGATGTAACTTTTAAAAGACTTGAATCGGGGTGAGTGGGGGCAGCCGTGTTCCTATATGGTACGCTCTTACATTCCACTGTTCTGTGTCCTCCTGTCCCAGAAGCCACAGATCTGAGAGTCATCAGCAAGAGGAACAGGGCAGAGGGGCTGAACCTGAGCCAGATCCTGTGCAATTAGAAATCTCATCACCGCAACAAACCATTGACCCAGAACCAGGGGGTCACAGTCTAACGATACAAGGTAGGCCATTAAGGACTGAGATCAGGAGAAATTTATTCACCCAGAGAGTGGGGAGTCTGTGGAGTTCTCGGCCACAGAAAACAGTTGAGGCCAAAACATTGAATGTTTTCAAATAGGAGTTAGATATAGTTCTTAGGGCTAAAGGCATCAAAACATATGGAGAGAGAGAGGGGGAGTAGGGGACTGAGTTAGATGATCAGCCATGATCCTATTGAATGACAGAGCATGCTCAATGGGCTGAATGGCCTCATGCTCCTATTTTCTATATCAACCCCAAATCACAATCTCTCCTTCCCCGAGTCCTCCCAGCAAAGGTTCCTACTCTCAGGCATGATCCCTCTGGGATGCTGTTTGTGGCCCAGACTGCAGCCAGCTATTAATGTTCTGCAACGTAATGGATATGAAAGAGTTAATCTGAGTAAAGTGAAGCTCCGCCCGCTCTGTTATATAACACAGTCACTGAGTGTGGGACAGTTGGGTTGCACATTTAGTTGGTGCTTAGTACAGAGACAGACAGAGAATGGAGAGAGTTACTCGTAGAAACAGATTGGCCTTAACTACCTCTTGTTAGTAATAGTTAATAGAGCTAAGGGTTAAAGTAACGTGTACTTAGTTACTGAGAGGGAGCAAGCTACATCCTGTTAACCCTGGGAGAAGCATCTTCTGCAGAAACACTTTTGAGGTTTAACCTTCACCATGGACTGCATGAGAAATGGAGATTGGTAGCAGACCCCCTTGGGAGAAGGGGTTGTACCCAGACCCCCTCAGTCCCTGTGACAACAGTCTCTCCTACAGGGTTCACAACAGCCTCCCCTGTGGTTTTTAAACCAGGATCTGACCAGCCCCGATCCGGACCAATGGCCGTCCTGTTGGCTTGTTTTGGGGGAAACCCAGGATACGCCGTTTTAGGGAAGGACGATTGTAAACAACAACAACTTGCATTTAAACAGCATCCTTATTGTCGAATCGCATCTCAAAGTACTTCGTCGGGCTGTTATTGAACGGAAACCAACACCGCATTAGGCCATAGTTAGGGCAGGGAATCTGTTCACTGCAAACCTCCCACAAACAATGTGTCAACAATCCTCAAAAGTTATTTTTTGTGATGTCTATTGAAGATTAAATAACAGCCGGGGCACTAGGGAGATCTCTCCCAGTTCTTCTTCAAAATAGTGCTTTGCGAATCCATTGTGGACAGTAGGCAGTTGGCTGGTTTAACATCTAAAAGGTGTGTTTTAGAGAGCAGTGCAGCATTCCCTCAGAGTTGCACTGGATCACTGGCCTGGACTGTGGAGCTTATGTAGTTGGAGTTGGACTTGGGCTTGAACACGCGATCTCTGAACTTGGGCAGGAATACTAACCACGTCTGACACCGGCACCAACCAAGACAGCTAAACTCATAAGGTCTTCTTACCTCATCAAGGTTCCCCTTAATTTCTTCAATTCTTCCTGAAAAGAATAAGAATATTGCTCCCTGCAGGAAAATAAGCAACAGGATGATCTCATTAGCAAATAATAGACTTTTCCAGGTTTCTGTTTCTATGTTTACATCATTAAGAGCCAGATGGAAAGAGAGAGAGTTGAGAGGAGAAGTTTTTCAAAGGATTAGGCCCACAGCTAGAAACATAACTGCAATTAACCTCCCTGCAAGTCACTTCATAAATTTAACAAAGAACCCCCAGAGTAGGGGAGTCCAAAACCAGAAGGTATACGTTTAAGGTGAGAAGGGAAAAGGGGCAACTTTTTCACACAGAGGGTGGTGCATGTATGGAATGAACTGCCAGAGGAAGTGGTGGAGGCTGGTGCAATTACAACATTAAAAGGCATCTGGATGGGTACATGAATAGGAAGGGTTTAGAGGGATAGGGGCCATATGCTGGCAAATGGGACTAGGTTAATTTAGGATATCTGGTCAGCATGGACGAGTTGGACTGAAGGGTCGGTTTCTGTGCTATAACAGCTCTATGACTCCATAACTGTAATGGCATGATAGTGACACAAAAAATTAGTCATCTTCCCAGGGAATTTTTCTTCCAGTTGTCTGTAGGAATTGTCCAACCACAAATTAGGCTTGCTTTTAAATCCCAGATTTTTGTGGGATTCAAATTTCACTAACAGCAATGGTGGGATTTGAAACCATGTCCCCAGAAAATTAACCTGGAGCTCTGAATCGTGAGGCCACCAGCTCACCAGTCAAATCCAAACACAAGCTCCTGCCCTTAGGCTTTCATAAGGAATAGCGTATGACCTTAAAGGGGCAGGCCAGACCTTGAACTACATCAAAAGAGAGCTATTGATTAAACATTACAAGGAAAAGCAAAATGAAGGCCTATCCTACCTTGGGATAGCGAGTGAGGTAGGGCTGAAGGAGAACCACTGCGTCTGTGACCTCCTCCTCTCCTGTACCTAAAGCCAAAAGGAAACAAAGCATCATGAAAACAGCATTTCAGAGTCAAGCTAGAAGTGGCACACGAGATTAACTCTCCAGCTTGTTCTCCCTCAGAACAAATGTAGGCCACTCAGCCCTTCATACCTGCTCTTCCATTCAATGAGATCACAGCTGATTTGATCACTCCACATTCCTGCTTACCCCCGCCTCCCGATAACCTTTCACCCCCCCCTGGCTCGTTAGGAATCTACCTCCCTCCACCCACAATCTAGTGAAGGGCTCCGCATCCACAACCTCTTCAGGAAGGGAGGCTAAAAGATAAACCGCTGTATATGAGAACATTTTTGTTTTTCTCCCATCCCCGTTTTCAACAAGGGTGACCCCTGATGTTTTAGCAGTGCTGGCGGCTGAGTGCATTCTCTACACTTTCTCCATCCCTACACTGTAACACAGCGCTGAAGACCCCTGGTGTCGCTGGACCCCTCGCTCATACTGCCCATAGGTCTGTGTGAGGACTGTAAGAGAAAGGAAAGGTCCTTACTGTCGTGGGTAGCCAGCATTCACATCACTCAGAAAGAATCGGTCAGTACAGTGGGACCTGCAGGACTCCCACAAGGAGGGCCACAGGATGTCTCTCTGTGAAACTTTAACACAGAGAGGCACTACCTTCCCCTCTCCACATCACCCAAGAAAGGCAACATGGCACACAGGAGCATGTTCGCAAATACTTATAACTGAAGGTGAAAGGAAATCAGTTCCATGCTCTCGTGCAGCCTACAAGGTCACGGCATTGTGGCCTGGGCTTAAGCATTGGCTGGAGATCAAGTACCAATCTTCCCAGGAAAAGTACAACTCCCCATGGGATTGCAAATTACTGGTAACCTCTCAACATGTTTCTGCAGTGGCAGGGAATTGAAGAACAGGGAGAGAATAAAACAGGACAGGCTGGTTGCCTTTCATGGTCAATTATCCTCTTAATGTGTCTTTCATCTATATCTGGAGCATCAGACCATAGTCGCCAATTCTAGGGAATTGTGCTGAATATCTAGTTTCTATAATGAACCTCCTACTTTGGAATGTTTCAAGAGACATCTCCCAAAAAGAGCTGGTCTCCACTCTACTTACTTTCCCAGGTGCTTCGCAGAACACACAAACCCAGCCGTTTTTAGCAGAGGTCACGCTACTGCCCTTGACCTTTCGTCTCTGACATTTGACCTCTAACCCGTTATCTGTTTCAGTGCAGCTTCCCTATTGGATTGTGGAATTAACCCTCCAGTTGACTCTTGCACCATTCCCACTGCAGTGTGCAGGCCCCTCTTGCTCATGTCTTAACAATCCGAGTGTTATTCCCAAGGAAAGGACCATCTGAGGGCCTTCGTTTCTCCTCAGTTCCTACAGTGGTTTCTCTTCTGACCTCTGGTGTCCAAACCTTTTGGCGCACTTAGCCTGCATCATTGCAGAGAAGTTTAGCATCTGGACCATTGCCCCAAAAGATCTCAGACAAAGGCTAGAATCAAACTGGGTCCATCCTAGTCTGTAGCAGGACAGAAGACAATTTTCTGGTCCATTCCGTACATGCTTTCCAACTGCTACATCACAATATAGACCTCCTCCCCCACCCGGTACCACACATCCAAAGTCACATGATCTCCTCATGCTCCTGCACTATCAGTTGTTAAGTTTAAATCTAAAATAGATCCATTTTTGTTCAAAGGTATCAAGGTATATGGGCCAAAGGCATGTATAGGGAGCTGGGACAAGATCAGTCATGATCTCATTGAATAGCAGAACAGGCTGAAGGGACTGAATGGCCCACTTCTGTTCCTATACTCCTGTAATGGGGACATAAACCAGTAATTCTTGGAGGGCATGGATTCAAATCCATCAAGTGGCTATTAGAACTTAAATTCAATTTATAAATCTGGAATCAAAAGCTGGTCTCAATTTTCGTAAAAACCCACCTGGTTCACTAACACCTTTTAGGGAAAGAAATCTGCCATCCTCACCCGGTCTGGCCTACATGTGGCTCCAGATCCTCAGCAAAATGGCTGACACCCTAACTGCCCTCTGGAATGGCCTCATGCGCCGCTCAGCTCAAGGGCAATTAGGGACGGTCTTGCCAGTGAAACCTGCATCCCATGACAGAATGAAAGGGGCAAGAAAGTTACAAGAATCCTGATAGATTTGAGGAAACAAAAGAGGGGCACAGTTCCTCCGCCAGCCACCGCTGCCCATGGCAACAAACCCAGGAGGTTCTGATTTCCTGGAACAACTTGGAGATGTCGGCTTTGGGAAGAGTGTTGGAGGAGGGGTTGGGTGGGCCCAGTTTCATGGAGGAAGGTGTTTCGTGCCCAGGGTTGATTTTCTCCGGGGGCGGGGTGGTGGGAGGGGAATAAGGGATGAAGTGATTATGGACTTTAGTTCTTTGGAAGCAATGAGAGTGGCGGGGAACAGAATGGAAAGAAACTTTGTCCATTGCGACAGGAGGAGATGTGGACTGTGGCGACATGAGATTAAAAATCAGAGCCAGCCAGAGATATTAGCAAATACTTGCAAAAAGGTGGATAAAAATACTAAAGTTACTGAAGCAGTTAATAATTGTAAAGTTGATGAGATTATTGCTAAAAGGATACAGACCCGAGGCAAGCGGATAAAGTTAGCGTACAGATCAGCCATGATCTTCTTGAGAAGCAGAACAGGTTTGAGGGGTTGAATGGCCTGCAGTTAAATTCTCAGCTGGCAGGATGGCCAAGGAACAAGGTACTGGAGGGAGGGTGGGAGACTATCCCTGAAGACATGTCTCCCTTTTCACTGTTACACGCTGATGGGAGCTTGGACTTGAACAAATTTTAAGGCCATCATTTTCTCTTACCAAGTATGAAAGTGAGGAAGGTATAGTAACACAGCAGCAGCATGACACAGAGAATCGCTCGAAGGTTGGGCACCAGCACTCCATCGTGTAACTGGGACAGACCATACTCCTGTTAGAAAATACATCAACAACATCAGAGAGAGCTCAACAGCTTTGAGTCACTAGTCTTGATCCATGACAGTACCGCAACTACAACTGCAACTTGCATTTATACAACACCATCCACACTGTAAGGCGCAAGATGTTCCATCAAGTTCACAAGTAAAAAACTATCACCAAGCCACCTTAGGAGATGACCAAAGGTTTGGTCAAAGCGATACAGGTTTGGAGAAAGGGTGAGGAAGAGGGTTGGAAAGGTTTAAAGAAGGGAATTCCAGAGTTTAGGACCTGAGAAGCTGAAGGTAACACTGCCAATAGTGGGGCGATGAACACTGAGAAGGCACAAGACGCCAGAAATGGAGCAGAGTGCAGATCACTGAGTTTTTTCCCTTCCCAAGTATGAAAGTGAGGAAGTGTATCACACACAGCAGGAGCTGATACAAACTGAATTATATCTTGTAGTAAAGCATTTAATCTCCTTAACAATCCATCACCTGAAATAAATACACTTGAACCTTCCACTTCTGATAGCAGTAATACTCTACCAAATCTGGAATTTAAATTCAAACAATGATCTCTGGGATTGAACAGCTAGTGATGGTGGCCATGAGTCTATGATTGACTGTTGTAAAACCCATGTGGTCCACTAATGTCTGCCATCCCTCCCTGGTCAGGCTTACATGTGACTCCAAACCCATAGCATTGGGGTGGAGTTTTAACCACTCTCTGAAATGGCCAAGAAATCCACTCAGCTTTCATCCAAAGGGCAGCAAATGCTGGCCTTGCGAGTGACACCCACATCCCAGCGAAAAATAAAGAGGAAGATTGAAATCCTGCCTACCTTCCCTTGTTACTGTTTTACTGGCCAATGAATACAGGTCTTAACTTCTTAAACCTTTTCATAATAATCACAAACGTGTGTTCATTTGTGTTCATTTTATATCTTCTCAGAATAAGATACGTTAGGCAAAATCGAGATGCATTCATTACTGTAATATTTATTAAGGTAAAGGTAAAGTCACCCTCGTCCTATTGATCCATATGGTTGCTGGTTCAGATTCATAGCGTCATGCAGCACAGAAACAGACCCTTTGGTTTAACTAGTCCATGCCAACCATGTTCCTGAATCAAACTGGTGCCACCTGCCTTAATTTAGCCAATATACCTCCAAAGCTTTCCTATTCATTTACTTATCCAAATGTCTTTTAAACATTGTAACTGTACCCCCATCCACCACTTCCTCTGGCAGTTCATTCCACACACGAACCACACTTTATAAAAAAGTTGCCCCTCATGTCCTTTTTAAATCTTTCTCCTCTCACCTTGGAAATATCCCCCCTAGTTTTTAACTCACCTACCTTAGGGAAAAGATCCTTGGCTATTCACCTTATCTATGCCCCTCATGATTTTATAAACCTCTATAAGGTGCAACCTCAACCTCCTATGCTCCAATGAAAAAAGGTCCCAGCCTATTCAGCCTCTCCTTATGACTAAAGCCTTCCATTCCCAGCAACATCCTGGTAAATCTTTTCTGAACCTTCTCCAACTTAATAATATCCTTCCTATAGCACAGTGACCAGACCTGCACACAGTACTCCAGAAGAGGTCTCGCTAACATCTTGTACAAGCTCAACATGACATCCCAACTCCTACACTCATGGGTCTGAGCAATGAAGGCAAGGTCCCATAATTCAGACTCATGGACAAAGAAAGGAATGTGATCATACTGAATAGGGCCCATTCATCCCACCACGCCTGTACAGCCTCTTTAAAATAAACTACTCCATTAGTTCCAACCCCCTCCTCTCTTCCTGTGAATGTTCCCATCCCACGTGTTTATGCAATTCATGTTTAAAAGTTCTGGTTTTATTTTCACCATCCTTGCGGACACTGCAATCTCACCGCATAAAAGTGTTCCTCTTCATTTCCCTCCCCATTTCTGAAGAAGGGTCCTGACCCGAAACGTCAGCTTTCCTGCTCCTCTGATGCTGCCTGGCCTGCTGTGTTCCTCCAGCTCCATACTGTGTTATCTCTGACTCCAGCATCGGCAGTTCTTACCACCTCCTCAACTCATGCCCGGCTCTTTGGTCAATTACTTTAAAGAAGATTTACTCATCCATCAAAGATGAGAACTTGCATTTGCTTGGGCACCTCAAATGCTGCTTGAATAGGTGAAAGATTTTTGCTTCCTCGAATTACGCACAATTACTCTTCAGAGCCCATCGGAAACTGGTTTGGAGGCTTTTTACCTTCCCCTACAGCAACAACTCTGAATCCACCACTTACTCCAGTTTCCAATTCTACAAATTAAAAGGGATCTGTGTCACCTCTTTCAAGAGTGAATGTTGCAGAAGGTTTTCTTGTCCCTACCTTGTCACCAGAGAAGCCAGCAAATTCCAACAATTTCAGGATCCGTGTGGGGAACAGTGACAGCGTCTAAGGACGTAACAAAGGTCAAGTCAAGAAACAAAGCTGCTTTCCAGAGACAATCCAGGTGACCACTAGTGACCCTTTCACACATTCTAAGTTATGTGCTAAATTAGAACAAAGAACCTGCAGGTGCTGGAGGTCTGAAATAAAAACAGAAATTGCTGGACAAACTCAACAAGGCACATCTGTTGGAAGAAAGCAAAGTTAACGTTTTGCGTCCCGTGGCTCCAAGAGTTCTGATGAAGAGTCACGGGACTGGAAACATTAACTCTACTTTCTCCCTCTGCGGACGCTGCCAGACCTGCCGAGTTTCTCCAGCAATTTCTGTTTTTGTTCCCAGACATTTGGCTTGATCCATCGGGGAATCTGGGATTAGGGTGGGAAAATGCAGGAAAGTGGACGTGAGGAATTTTGGATCAGCCACGGTCCCATTGAATGACGGAGCAGCTTCCAGGGGCTGAATAACCTACTCCTTCTCCTATTACTTACAGTGCAATCGTCTTAATATTTGCAGTGCTTTTCCAAGTGAGGGACGGCTTGTCTGGGAAATTGAAAGTCACCCATCTGCAAGTGACAGCTCCAAAGGTTTCCTGGTTGGGAACAGCACAGCTTAGATAGTTTACTGTGGCACACTGGGTAGCATCCCTGCCAGAAACTCTGGGTTCGATTTCCGCTCCAGGACTTGATGACCAAGCAAGCCGCATTTGTAACTCAGGGTGAGCATCAACTTGCGACTCCTTCCAACACTCACCAATAGGAGGTGGTAAGAGAACTTGAGTATCCAGCTGGGAGGGTAGATTCACTCTCACCCCAATGGTTGGCACTTCAGACAGTGTAGCACTCCCCCAGTACTACACTGACTGAGACACGAGAATGCCACCCACTGGACCACAGCCGAGAACTCACTTATAGCAGCTGAGGGGTGACCTGATAGAGGTTTATACAATCATGAGGGGCATGGAGAGGGTGAATAGCCAAGGTCTTTTTCCCAGGGTGGGGGAGTTCCAAAACTAGAGGGGCATAGGTTTAAGGTGAGAGGGGAAAGATTTTAAAAGGACCTGAGGGGTAACTTTTTCCATGCAGAGGGTGGTGTATGTATGGAACGAGCTGCCAGAGGACGCGGCGGAGGTAGGTACAGTTGCAACATTTAGAAGGGATTTGGATGGGTATATGAATAGGAAGGGGTTACAAAGAAATGAGCCAAATGCTGGGAAATGGGACTGGATAAGATTGGGATGTTTGGCCGAGTTGGACTGAAGGATTTGTTTCTGTGTTGTATGACTCTATGGATGAATCCTTCTTCAGGGAAGCTCAGCCTTTTTCCTCTGACCAGTAGCACCTACTCTAGGCGGACTGGCCGTGCTAAAGTGCCCACAGTGTCCAGGGGTGTGCAGGCTAGGTGGGGTAGCCATGGGAAATATGGGGTTACAGGAATAGGGTAGGGGGGTGAGTCTGGACAGGATGCTATTCAGAGGGTCAGTGTGGACTTGATGACCCAAATGGCCTGCTTCCACACTGTAGGATTCTATGATTCTACTCTGTAGCTCAGCCCCACCTGTACCCTGAGGAGAACCAACATCTGTACTTTGTCTTCAGCCTCCCATTTTTTTTGAATGAGTCATTTCGAGCGTTGATCTTACCAGGTTGAATGCTCCAATTCCCAAGGAAATGCCTCCTTCTAAATGCGAGTGGTTCGGTCCTTTATTGAAGAGGTCCGACTGCAGAAAATTGTGGAGGTCCCTGTCAACGACAAACAGAAACCAAGCTTTTCATGTTCACCTCGAGCAGGACAGGAGTTCAACAGATAATTTAATCCCCACAAAACTGAGAGGGGGAGGCTCGAACACAAAACACAGAGGTGACCCACTCCCTGAGCAAGCAGAGGGAATGGCATCTGGCTGGAAACGAAGTATGAGTTTTTGACAGAACTGACTGCAAACAGTTTTTTTTCCACTGAGGCTGGAAGGTGCAAGGCTGTGTGCTCGGAAAGAAATAACTCGTATTTATGTGAGAATAAAATAGTTAGGTGGTTGTTTTTGACTAGCCCAACTTCGATGGGCCTTGAAAGGCCTTCTTCTGTGCTGTAGACCTCTATGATTCTATATTTGTCTTTCACAGTCTCACGATGCCCTGTCCCTCCAAACAGTGCCCAGCCATTCACGGGAGTGACTCATCACAACATTCAGAGAATATTTTTTAAAATTCCTTCGATGGGATGTGGATACCACAGGCATCTGACCATCCCTAACTTCCCTTTGAACTGAGCAATTTGCTAGGGCCACTGCAGAGGGCAGTTAAAAGTCAACCACATTACAGTCATTGAGGTCTACGCCATAGAAAAAGGCCCTGCAGCCCAACACATCCACACCAGTCAGAAACAACCACCTAACTATGTTAATCCCCTTTCCCAGCACTTGGCCCACAGCCTTGTATGCCTTGGCATTGCAAATACACATCTAAATACTTCTTCAATGTTTTGAGGGTTTCTGCCTCTACCCCCTTGACAGGCGGGGAGTTCCAGAATCCCACCATCCTCTGGTGAAAAAATATTTCTTCACATCTCCTCTAAACCTCCTGCCCCTTATCTTAAATCTACATCCCATGGTCATTGATCCCTCCATTACGGTGAAGCTTTTCTTCCTGTCTACCGTATCTACGCCCCTCATAATTTTATACATTTCAGTCTTATCTCTGCTCAATCTCCTCTGCTCCAAGGAAAACAACCTCAGTCTGTCCAATCTGTCTTCATGACTGAAACTCTCCAGGCCAGGCAACATCCTGGTAAATGTCCCTCTGCACCCTCTCCAGTGCAATCGCATCCCTCCTATAAAGGAGGATTACAAAACTGCACACAATACTGTAGCTGTGGCCTAACCAATGTTTCATACAGTTCAGCATCATCTCCCTGCTCTTAAACTCTATGTCGCGGCTGATAAAGGCAAGTATCTCATATGCCTTCTTAACCGCTTTATCTACTACCTTAAAAGGACTGGTGGACCTGCACACTGAGGTCCCTCTGATCCATTGTGCTTCCCAGGGTCCTACCATCCACCATGTATTCCCCAGCATTGCTTGTCTTGCCCAACTGCATTACATTGCTGTGGGTGTGCAGTCACATGTCGGCCAGACTGGGCAAGGATAGGAGACTTCCTTTCCTAAAGGATTTTATTTTCAAGTGAAAGTCAATGACAGCTTTATAGTCACCATGAACTGCAACTAGCTTTCAATTCCAGAGGGACAATAAATGCCAACCTCAGCCACCACCCATTAATGAATTCAAAGGCTCTGCCAAGGTCCAGAGAGTTGATTGAGTCACAGGGTGTTAGAGAGACTAATGTCTGGATTATAGTGAGCTAATTGATCTGATCAAAGCTAACAGTCTAGATACTACGAGATAGTAGGAACTGCCGATGCTAGAGTCTGATATAACAAGGTGTAGAGCTGG